TCCGCGGTGCCCCGCGGTGGCCCGCGCATCGGGTCCACCATCAGGTCCACCCTCCAACTTCGTGAGGTGCGCTTCCCGTTAAAAACACTGATGTACGAGTAAAATGTAACGCCGTTACGCGCCGTTACTGGCCTGAGTACGGTACCGCGTTACGATACTGCCGCTGGAAATGTAATAGTTACCGTTATCGTTACGTAACGAAGTAACGCGGTACTGTAACGCGATACACCGTTACAGTAACGTTAACAGCCCTGATCCCTTCCATCCGCGCAATAGGCTCTCTGCTGTTTTTCCCCCCCTCTAAAGACGTCTTCGCGGCCGATGGGGTGAAATCAAAACCGCGAACGAGGAGGCGGGGCGCGCGGGGCGGCGAGGGTGCGCCCCATCCCCCAATCCGACTGCTCTTTTTTTTATGTTACCGCACTTTGCTCTTTCCGGGCCATCCGGGAGGTGCTCTGGCCTTTTAACAAGGGCTCGGGAATTTTACTACCCTTCTTCGATTTGGTATTTACCCGCTTTTACTGCCGCGGCCGGGGAGGCGTTGCGTGTCAGAGCCTCACTGCCCTCCCTGGTGGCGGAGGGGGAGGGGGGTCGTACATTTCACGAGCTAATAGAAACCTACTGTCTCGGGACCCGCAGCCCCGCGCCGCCGCCGTCCAGCGGTCCACGCGCGCTTCTGCTGCTCTTTCTCATTCCGAGAGTCGTTTTCGTCGTTCTGTCTCTCTCGCACGCATGCGGCGTCCCGTATAGGTGCGAGAGAGACAGAGCGACGAAGAGCCGGAGGGAAGTGCCACAGCGGGTTGCCGCCGTCCGCCGCCGCGAGGTGGCGCGGCGCCACGAACCGCACTGCCGGGCAGAGCAGCTCTGTCTCTCTCGCACTCACGGGGCGTTCCATGCGCGTGCGAGAGAGACAGAGCGACGAAACGAAATCAGTCCGCAGGTCCGCACGGCAGCGGCAGGTGCCCCGTCCGTGGTCGGTGGCGGCGTGGGCGGTCACCCCATCCATTCATTGTTGCGACATAGCAGGATAAAGGAACTTAGATCAACGGTTCCTCGACCATGACTTGTCCGCGGGCACCCCCAGGTCCACCCTCCACGAAGGCGACCCTTCCCGACCCCAGCCGCGCTCATTGGACAAAGGTATGGTTGGATGAACCAAGATTTAAACACATGTGATACTGTGAAGCTAGACTTATTGACCAGACGCAAAAGACTGAGTATGTCAAAAAACTAGATAAAGTGTTATAATGAGAATCGCTGATTTCCACACTCCTAAAAGCAAAGGCTACTTTTAGCGACTCCGAAATCCTATTTTTTTTTAACTTCGGTGAGGCGGATCAGCATAGTCATCAGGAGTTAATACAACATATGTGATTTAGAATCGTGTTTGTCATAATATTGCATGTTGGACAAAGTGTAAAGCTTAATGGCGGCAATGGGCGGGCTTTGCTTTGAAAGCAACGGCACATTTAGACACGTTTAGACCAGCTGCTAAATCTTTTAACGTTTTGGAAGGTTTTTATTTTGAACTTTTAATTTGTGGGATATGACAAAGTGTCTTGGACGTGAACTTGGAACAAAAATTAATGCAGCAGATATGCAAAACCAAAGAAATATTTTATAGGTTATTGACTGAATTGTATTTTCTTGAAGTGAGTCTATTGCATTACAAAGTCCATGAATGTTTCAAAAAGATAAGTGAACCTAATGTATGTATTCTGTTTTTCGTCAGACCGGTGGCTTTTTAAACCGTTCATCCGACAACAACACCATGACAACACAAACAGACAGTAAAGTCAAAGAACTAATAACATTTGAAACCTTGAATCACAGGCTCGACCAATAAGGCAAGCCTTGAGCTAGTAAATATTGTTCCTCGGCGTTCCGCTCCGCGGTGCCCCGCGGTGGCCCGCGCCATCGGGTCCACCATCAGGTCCACCCTCCGCAGCACTTAGGCGAGGCCCTCCGCGCCCCGCCGCCCTGCCCTACAGGAGGTCAGTGTGGTTGGCCTGGACCAAGATTAGACCCGACGCGAGGCTACGCGAGCTACGCGACGCGCCCACGCACGCGCGGTGGCCGACGGTGACGACGCCCCAAAAGCTGGGAAAAAGCGGCAGTAAAGAGCAGCGCATCTCTTAATTTCTCATAACGTCGTAAAGTGGCCAAAGGCGACTTTGGAGGCGACGCCTCCGGCCAGCGCCTTCCCTCCTTTTTTTTATCTTCGGCGGCGGCGGCGCGGCCGCGGATATGGCCGTCCGGATTTCGTAATTGGAAGCAATCGCCTAATTGATGTTTTGTTGTCGATAAAAGCGGCTTTTACGGCGCGGGGATGTTGATGCCCCGCGCGGCCAGCCTCGCGCCGGACCAGAGGGCCTGAGGGCCGGCCGGGGACGCGGAGAAGCTCCTGTGGCGGGCAGTAAAAAAATTTTAGGGCATATCGAGGGAAGGACATGTGCCGGCCACCTCCGTGTGTTTGTGTGTGTGTGTGTGTGTGTGCGTGGGTGCCCTCGCTGTGCGTGCGGGCGCGGAGGCGCGGACGTGCGAGGGGGGAGACAGTGGTGACAGGGAGCTCTGGTAGTGATAATCCCACACGCTATGGGGGTTTATGATCCTTCTGCCGGGCGCTGGGGCCGGTCGGGCCGGTCGGTCATTTTGGCGCGGGGCTCGCTGCCTTCGCCGCCTCCTCCTTGCCCGCTTCGCTCTCCTCCTCACCGCCACCGCCGGCCGCTGCCGGGAGGCCCCTCTCCTCTCCGCCGTCCTTCCCCTTCTAGTCATTTGCGTCCTTCATCATTAAGGTCGTCTGCGGGGGATTGGCTATTGACAGTGCCCGGTCGCTAAGCACAACGGACGGGACGCGAGGCGAAGCGCCGAAGCGGCGAAGCGCTTTTCGAGATCCTCCTCTCCCCTTCCCCCTCGGCACCCTCGGCACCCTCGGCCGTGCGAGTTTGCGGCGGCCTCCCCGCCAGGCCCCTCCACCCTTCCACCCCTGTCGACTGATTCCGAGAGTCCTTTGTCGTCGCTCTCTCTCGCACCTGCACGGGACGCCGCAAGAGTGCGATAGAGACAGAGCGACGAAAACGACTCTCGGAATCAGTCTGCTGGCCGGCACCGGCAGCAGCCAGTGGTGCTCTTCCTCGAGCTAGGCCCTAGGCGCCCCACCTGCCGTGTGTCTGAGTGCAGCAGGCCCAGCCCAGCCCAGCCGGGCCCAGCAGGGGTGGAAAGACAACAAGCACGCCGCACTTGAACCCCACGGCCTTCCCCAGCCCACACTGATTCCGAGTCGTTTTCATCGCTGTCTCTCTCGCACCCATGGGGCGTCCCGATTAGGTGCGAGGGAGACAGAGCGCCGAAAACGACCTTCGGAATCAGTCCACAGCTGACTGCTGGAAATGCAGGTGGGACGCCGCTGGAACAGGTGTGAAGCTGTCTACGTCTCAGCAACTAACCAATAAAGGCGGCGTTTGAGATTTGGGATTCTCCCGCATTCTTCAGTAGAGGAAAGAAATGGACCGCGGAACTGGTGCTCAACCGCTGACCAAGCCAGCCGGACAGAAAGGGCTGGGAGGGGATTCGAACCCGGGCCGACGCGCCCCTCGCGCTCCAGCGGCCTCGGCGGGGGCGGCTTTTGGCTTTTGTTCCGGGTGGCTGGCCGACGGCCGCGGTGCCTCGCTCGCCTGGCAGGGCTTGGCCAGGCCTGGGCTTACAAGGCCTGGGCCAGGGCGGCTCAAATCAAATCATATCGCACAACGAGGCCATTGCCGCGGCCTAGGGTGCTGGCCGCGCTGGCGCGCACCCCCGGCCGCCCCTCCTCCGTGCTGCCCGTCTTCGTCTTATATCGCCGGCCAGCGAAATCCCAACGCCGCGGCAAATGGCTCGGCGCCCGCTGCTTCGCGCCCTTAATGAAAATCGATGTTGTCAGCGGCCTCGCCTGCCTCGCCGCCTCGCCCTGCCTGCAGGCTGCAGGACGACACTCCGCTCATCGCCGGCCCAGCAGGCTCATTGCCGAGAGTCGTCTTCGTCGCTCTGTCTCTCTCGCACCTACTCGGTGCACCCTAGGAGTGCGAGAGAGACGCTGCGTCGAAACCGACTCTCGGAATCAGCCTGGAGGCCATCCGCAGCCGACACGCCGCCACGCCCCGCGGCCCTCGGCTGCCCTTGGCGGGCCCTGGCCCTGGCGCGCCCAACCGGAAGGGAGTGGGAGGGCTGAAGGGTTGCTGCAGGATGTCTTGGACCGGCTCGTCACCGCCCCGCGCACCGCCCCCACCCCCCACAAACTTTGCTTTTGATTGAGACAATAAAGAGACGCTGGCCGGTGGCGGCGACGCTGCTGGTGCGACGCTACACACTTAGGTCAGGATTCGGCTCGGCTCCCCCGGCCGGCTCGGCTGGGCAGGGCACTCCGCTCGCACCGCCCGTGGCCTCCCGACCCATCAGCAGTGTGTGCTAAAACTCGACTCGCACGGCCCGGGCCTGCGCGGCCTGCGTTGCTTCTCCCGGCTTCATGGCGCCCACGTGGAAAGCCTAAGTGCAGCGGACTGATTCCGAGAGCCGTCTTCGTCGCTCTCGCTCTGTCCTTCTTACACCCATAAGAACGCCCCGTGAGTGCAAGAGAGACAGAGCGACGGAAACGACCCTCGGAATCAGACTGCAGCGACGCGGCGCGCGAGAGTGGGGCGAAGAGCGAAGGGCAACCCTGTAGCCTACTCTAGTCGCCCGGAAAGTTGACAACCCGTCGGACTCGTCCGGGTCACCAAGGCCATTCGTTCACGAAAGAATCCAGAGCACGACGTTTCTGGTTTAGAGCGTTTGGGCACACTGAAAGTTTCCAAGAAGAAAGTACTTTCGTCAGGAGTTAATAATTTCATTGATAGCAGCTATGATGAATGACTGGTCTCTTCCAGAGTGCCTGCTGTGATCTCAGAGCAGCAGCCCACTAAAACTTAAGCATTGGTGATAAAATGGTGGCCTCTCCAAGGAATATTGAAAGGATTAATAATCACAGTTTTAAAGTTTGGTTACTTTAATGTAATGGTAAAAAAAAATCAAAACAATCTTGTTTCACTTCAATTCTTTCCATCACTGACATAGAATTGTTGCATATACAGCACATGAAATCAAAGCGATAGCAGTGTCCTTGTTTAAAAACAAACACCAAAAATACAAAGAAAATGAATTTTACAATTTCTGAACAATGGATAAACCATACCACATTTCACCTAAACAAAACTGAAGCCATGTGTTGGCTAATAAAATTTCCACTGGTGTGGTAAGCCCACAATAACAATTATAGTAATCAGTTTGTATACTATTGAAATGATGTAAAATCGGGTGGTCAATGACAAATTGAATACAGCCAAAATGCTGTATGAACCAACAACTAAACCTAATTTTTCAGCAAACAAAGGAATGTTTAACTGCCTTTGTTGGGCGGTCTGTATACTCCTACCACAACAGCATGGTCTCGTTCATAAGGTTCAAGGGTCAGCTGTTCCTTGGGTTTCAGTTTGTCAGCTTGGAGCTTCTTAACTTCCTCAGCAAATACTGCTTCTGGGGCAGCGGTGGAGTCAATACAATTGGCCTGAGAACAGACGACATAGTTAGGCACAAATTGAGAATACAGAAAAGGTGTAAATTTGATTTTAAGTTATGCTACTTACCTTGATAGAAATTACAAAGTTGCCACCATTCTTTAAGAAATATTGGGCGTTGAGTGAAACAATACGAGCCTGATCTGGCTGGGCAACATCAGCAAAAATTGTGTCTACCATGCCTACAAGCATTCTGTATTTGTGTGGATGTCTGGCGTCTTCAATAATAGGAATAATATTGGTTCGCTTCTTGGCAACATTTAACAGATCTCTTCCTGATCTGTGAGAGAACTCAACAGCATAAACTAAGCCCTCCTACAAAAGAAAGGAAAAAAGTGTCAAAATTCACACACTTTGAACAAAATTTGATAATAATAAAAAGAAAAGAAAAGGTAAGTTAAAACTTACAGGGCCAACCACATCAGCAACATGAGATACTGTTGTGCCAGAGGCAGCACCCAGGTACAGGACTTTACTGCCAGGCGGCATGTGAATTTGATCAACTCCACCAAGAATGGCAGCTGCCAACTTTGAACGGAAGGGGTTCCATACTCTGTACTCAACCTTTTCTCCTTCAGTCTGCCAAAGTCAATATATGAATTAGTAAATATCCAGCTGACTGAGTCAAAACACACACATTTATAGAGAGGAAAAGCACAATACCTCAACGGCAATTCTCTTTTCTGCGTAGACTGAATCACCAGGTACCATGTTGATTGTGACAAGCGAGTCTTCCTTTCCTCGGGCAATAAAAACACCAGGATGACGATGTGGCTCAATAACCACCTGCTTGCCACCCTTCATACCTGGACAGATAAGAGTGTCAGCAGTTTCCATTGTGACGACAAAAGCAAGCATCACAGACGATTGACAACTTACCACCACCTCCACGGCCACCCCTGCCGCCACCACCCCTGCCGAAACCACCACGACCACGGCCTGGACTTCTGCCGCGATCGCCGAAGCCTCCACGGCCACCACGGCCACCGCGGTCGCCGCCGCCACCGCGGCCAAACCCTCCACGTCCTCCAGGGCTCTTGAAGCCCCCGCCGCCGCCGCCACGGCCGAAACCTCCGCGGCCGCCAGGTGAGTGGCCTGAAAGCAAAGCAAAACAACACAACTCAATACACAACTTAAAACCGATAGGACTGTCCGGGGCAGGAACTTCGTTAAGTCGGAAGAAAATAAAGGAATGCTTCACTCAAGCGCAAGAATGACGCTGTGATAGGCAGTAAAAAAAGCCCGACCGAACGCACGACAGGCACATGAAGCAGAGGTTAGGAAAATACAAAACACTTAAATTCCAGGAATTGAATTAAAAATATTGCCTGACTAACACCACTGAGGACTGCCGCTCAAGGGGGATAATTTGAACAAGTAACACTTGAGGTACGCGGCTCATTAAATAGGAAAATCTCGTAATGAATGCAACGCCACATGGTGGGCCGCATGTGCCCGGCCAGGGACGCTTGCCATGGGTTTTAACATGGCAATGTCCGGCAGGATTTGAATTCGAAGCCAAATGAACGCAACAGTTACAGAGCGTGACAGGTACTTACTTATGCGACTCATAGTGAACTGTGAGTCCTCACGGGCCTATTTGTTTTGAAACTAATTGGTGCTTATCGCACCACACCGCACACACACGCGCACGACTGCTTGCAGCTTGAGATCGAACCGGAAACTGGGAGAGAAGTAAACATGGATAACCGTTGCCAACGTAAGAAACGTGGTTTCTCCTACACTTTCGACAAACATAGAAAAGCCTCAAATCGACCACAGAATTTGAAAATCGATGAAAAAAACGTTCTTTATTGAATGAAAACAATTTTTCTCCATTTTCAGAGAGTAACACGATAGAAAATGTGAAAGCATCAGTCATTTCAAGTTAGTGTTTTGGCGTACTGGACATCGCTTAAACGCTTCGAGTATGAGAAATACTGCGTGTGTTTCTGAAATTGGCGGGACTGCTGAAAACTGTAAACAACCAATGTTTTCCTTCGTTGTGTCACTTGTCGACCAATTCAACGCCCAGTTTCGAAGAGAGCTTTGTAGCAGATGTGTCTAGGTCTATGTTCCCCAAGTAAGATTTAGATGGTTCTTCTCTTTTCACCCTCCGTAGACACCTCTAATGTCATTGTTTGAAATCTCATTTTTGGTTAAAATTTGCACTTTTATTACCGATTTTCCAGTGGTTTCCCAAAACAAATCTCTTTTGTTATTGTTTTTTGCGTTTATTTTCTTTTTGAACTATGCAGTTGTTGATGTGTTTCATTTCTTTCACTTGGTTGTAGACCATGTCATCTTACCTTGGGGGAGGCGTCATTTCCTTGGATCGATGGGAAGGTCTGAAAGAATGGCATCGGAGACATCAGGATTTACTTGGAGACAGGGGCAATGACTCTGATCTAGGAGGTAGTTTTCATTCGTGTGTTCCAGTTTTAGTGTCCACATGTCTTCAGTTTCCTTTTCCTTTGCAATTCAGTTTACATTTTACCTTCTGAACAGGTTTCCGGAGTCAGTCTCAGTCCTCTGCATTAAGTCTTATGAGTGATGCAAATGAAATTAATATTCCATACAAGGTAAGCACCACTCTATTGCTCATTCTTATTCAGACTTTAACATTATTTTGTGTATTTATTTACTCTGGCTTTGATCCCATTTGATTTACAGAATGAGTCACAAAATCCTGATAAATCTAAAGTAGGTGATTTATTTCTGCCACCTCCTGACAAACATGATCTATCCATAATTCCTGAAGGTGATGAAGATTCTCGTTCAAGAGATGGAGGAGATCTTGATTCTTTTAAATTCAAACAAAGCACTCAGAAAAACAGTGATGTAATTAAGCAAACAGATTCAAGTCAGAGTAGTGCTACCGGAAACTCAAATATGCCTGCTAAATCAAGCACCGGAAACTTTGCGGCAGGTTTGCGAGACAATGCAGAAAATGCTGTTGTTAAAAAACCATTCCTCCGTAGGGGTCAGGGGCTTGTCAAATATAATTTGAAGCCTGAAGATTTGCGGAATCCGTACAGAAAAGGCCCTGTAAAGAATGTTATGTCCAAAGAGAAAAATGATCGACCCAAAGCAAGGAATTTTGCAGAAAGGCACCGTACTTTGAACAGAGTGGAACGGCAGTCTACTGTGAAACAGCAATGGAATGCCTCTCAACATCTGAAAACTTCTTCTTTGGAAATTCCTATGCAGCGTCTTGTCCTTTCAGTACCCTCCCAAAAGGCACAGAGTGTAGAAATAGGCACTTGGTCTCAAGTCTTTGGTGGGGATGCCAAACTTTCAGGAGAGTCTGGCCCTGATAATACATTAAAGCAACCTCATGCCAATCCCATTCCAAAACAAGATGTACCCAAGACTTCATCAATTCATCTAGAAGGCAGAGTTGGATATTTTGCATCGCCAAGAAGACGGAATGCCGTCGGGAAGGGAGATTCATCTCCAGAGGTAACCCATATTTTAATCTGGAAGTCTGTCTTGTGTTTCTAGTAAGCAAAATCAGATGTTATTTCTAATTTTCAGGAAGATCAGGAGTCTCTTGCAGCTTATTTAGACTTGGAACAACATGTGGGAAATGCCAGCTTTTGTTCAACCTCATCCAAAGTAGATAGACTTGTGTCAAAATCTTCTAATTCAGCAATACATCAATCAAATCCAGATGCGATCACACAGTCAAAGCAGCTAACACCTGTGAAAACTGGTCGCAAGTTCATAGTCAGTGGGAGGGACAACAGCTTATCCTCAGAAGACCATCCCGGAATGTGGTCTGCTACTGACATAGAAAATCTACTTAAAGCTCGTGCTCGCAGATCGGGATCCCTCATAAAACCTTTTTCTGAGCCACCCAGGAACGACATGCTTAGCTATGGTAAAATATCTGCAATAGAGCAACCAGACTCAAAGAAATCTGAAGATGATCTCATCAGTTTTGCTCAAGACGACAATGCAAAAGCTCAACAAGAAGATATTAATTGGATGTTAGAGGAGTTGGGCCCTGTGAGGAAACCTCATCTTATGAAAACCATGTCAAGTATAGATCTTGATAGCAGTCTAATTAAAAATGCCCTGGCACCAACTCCTCATGAGGAAAGTGAGTCAGAGTCAGAATCCAGTACCACAGACAGTTCTTCTGAGGAGGAAATTGAAGATGGCGTGGCATTGGGAGGGGGTGCTATCTCAAAAATAACACTTTCAAGCAAATCTCCAGATATACTGCAACCTGGTAAAGAAGTGAGTTCTGATTCTTGTGGGTCCGTTAAGTTTGTCAATGACTCTACCCTTCAAGAAATCAACCATCAGATTGAGTCACACCTTGGAGACCTCCGGAAGGAAATTGAAACTCTGCAATCAGCAAAAGGAAAAACTCAAAAGTACATGACTAATTTGGAAAAGAAGGTAAGCATCACAACTATCAAACATTAATCCTTTCCAGAACTTTTGAAATGCTAACATGTGTCAACTTGATACAGGTTCAAGAGCTGGAACACAGACTAATTCTTGAGTCCCGTTCTTTCAATAAACGGCTAGAAGATGAAAGGGAAGCAGCCGCCAAACGCTTTATGGAGGAACAGAATAAATTTCAGAAAGAAAAGCAGTCTCTTCAGAGGATGTTGAGAGAGGAACGAAGAAAAGCACCAGATCCTATTACTCAACAGGAAGTTCTCAGGTTGAAACAACAGGTAATAAATATTAGTTATACTTGTATCTTTCTGTTCCACTCATTGTTGTTGTTGTATCTTAACAATATTTTTTATAGGTTGCTGAATGGGAGGAAAAATGGAGATCTGACCGTGCTAAAGCAAGGGGGTTGGAAAGTAACATACGCATCCAACTAACTAACTTGAAAAGGGAGAATGAGAAGTTGAAAGAGGAAAACAGCAAATTACGAAGAGAAAAGGTTTGTTTGTTTATCCTTTAGAATTGCACTTACAAATTTTATTATTGAGAAGCAAAATTGCTATTGGTATGTGTTGTTTGAGTTTTTCATTTTTGTTGTTTATCTTATCTGTATAGGAGACAGCTTTCAATACAGCCAAAGCTAAGGCAGCTTCTAACACCCGAGTAATTAATTCTATTGCTCAACAACTTGCTGGAACAAATAAACCAAAGGTCACAATTGTAAAAGAAGGAAATTCTAAACAGAGAAAGCCAACAATTAGTTCCGCTTACAATTTAAAATCTTCAATGCAGCCGAAAGGTTTGAAACCACAGGCTACCATTGAAAACTTTCCCAAGATTCCTCATACATCCAACGAGTGGTCAAGTGATGACGAAATTGATCTTGGTAAAGAGTCATCAGATGAGGAGGATATTACAGAAACTTTGGGAGCTGAAATGTTTAAAAAACAAACACAACCGCCCATATCCTTGAGACCTTATGAAAATTCCACTCAAAGTTTGCCAGAGCAAGAAATAATAGATTTAGAGGAAGCTCAGGCTAAGTATGATGCCATTTTTGGAAAAGGGGACATTGATTCACCTACAACTAAATCAAGCAGTAAAACATTGGAGAGGATTCAAGAGTCTCTAAATACAAAGTTACCTCCAGGTAATTGTTCTTTTTTTTTTTTTTTAAATCAAGTATCTGTGCTTCAAAATGTACCATGCTGTAATCAGGTCTGTATGATTTTCTGACTGCTCACAATCTCCTTTTGTGTCTTAGATACCAAGTGTGCAGCACAGGATGTCAATGAAACTGAGAAATTCGTCAAGTCAACTCATCATCCAGATGGAACAATAGAACAAGTAAAAGAGAATGGCACAAGAGTTGTCACCTTTCCGGACGGCACTTGGAGGCGTCACAGTTCCAGTGGCAGTGTAATGACAGTGCCACCCAGTGGATGGCCCATTCAAATATCCTATTTTAATGGAGACCAACTGGAGAAACTCAGTGATGGCCGAACAAGATATTTCTATGCAAAAACAAATGTCTGGCAAACTTCGTATCCTGATGGTCATGAAGAGCTGCTGTACCCAAGGTAATGTTTGTTTTCACTTTTTCTGCGTACAATATTTTTGGCAGTACTCATTATTTGAAAATCACTTTGCATTGGTTTATTATTTATAGTGGTCAAGTAGAGCGCCGGGAGCAAGACGGATCGGTAAAAATTATCCTTCCTGGGTCTGATACCAACTCCAATAAAGTTCAAGGACCTGATGGAATATCTGTTGAAAAACTTTCAAATGGGGACTCAGTGATTCTTCTTCCAACTGGTGAACGGGAACTTCATACAAGGGACTATATGGTTTGTAAACTTCCACAACAATTAACAAACCTATTTTAGTAATCTGGAGTTCTAATGTTCCAAAATTTATTTTTTTTTCTTTAGAGGAAGGAGTTTTTGGATGGAACCATTAAATACTTGTACAAGAATGGTAGCCAAGAAACACGATACCCAAGTGGCAGAATTCGTATTAAGGATCCTCAGGGCAATTTGGTTAAGGACACTGGTGCCTCTTGTTAACTTACTTTTAAGAAAGTTTGTATTTTAAGATTGTCTTTAAAACATTTATAATTTGCTCTTTTTTATGTCTATATTTTTTTAAAAAGAAATGTTGTGAGTACCCTGCAATATATTTGTTCAATGTAATCTAGTTTGGCTTGTATCCTCAGGATTTCCTTTGGAGTACAAGGCAAACTAGATTGCATTAGCCAATGATCTATGTTTTTAAGGAGCTGTTTGAAGAGAGTTAATAAATTTCATACAATTTACAAAGAATTATAGTGTATTTGGTTACTTAAAGGTATTAAACATTAGAGAATGCAAACAAGTGACTTATCTTGATGGACGCACTTGCTTCTTTACTTTATCACTTGTCCACTCTGCTTCAGGAACATTACTTCGGCTGTTGTTGAGAACTGATGATACATCCAAATCAAAGGGGAACTGTAATTTTCCGTCAGGCATGTCCCACAATTTCCAAAGCACATTGAGGGCAGCATTGTCGATTCCATCTTGAATCGATTCTCCAGCACCTTGCAATACAATTTAAAGGGGGAGAAAGATATAAAGAAATTCCAAAGTTATCACTTGAAAACTTAAGTTCCATTGAAAGGATGTAAATAACCTTACCTGATCCAAGAAACTTCTTCTCTGAATACAGTCCAATTCTGTAGCAGGGAATGATGCTGTTCATTCCAACCTGAGAAATTATTCTTGGCTCTGGAGCTTCTTTACCCTCTCTCAAAAATATTTGAGACAAGGCTCCTAATTTGTCTTCTGGCATACAGAGAGCATGAATGTCCTGCCCACTCAGGGAAGTGATAAGAAAGTCTCGAACAAATAAGGAGCCTCTTTCTGGTCCACTACTAGCTTCGACTGCCCCAACAAGAGCATAAAATGTAGAGACCTTAGTCTGAGTCTCAGTGGGGAAGTCCTGGTGGGATAGAATTAGTAGCTTGAATTTTATTTCACAGACAGCACAAGAAAATTAAGTAGGTTTTGTACATACAGTGCATAGGATAAGTTCATCAGCTCCAATGCTACACAAAACTTTAGCTATATTGTCTTCCTTCAATATGTGATCTCGAATGTGCCTAGAGATAAAAATTAGACGGCCATAGAAGATTTATCACGCCCTTTAATCTAAAACAATCTACAAGGGAAATTGTTCTTTACTTACAGAATGCCCTCCTCAGGCAGACAGGGTAAAGCTGTTCTTAAGTAACGAGCCACGAAATTTCTAGACAGTTCTTCTCCTTTTGCTGCAAGAGACCGATTATCTTCCAAGAAGCGGTCTGGATCATCAAGACCTAAGTCTTTGTTTAATGTCTCTTGCTTCACTACATAAGACCTGAAGAAAAAGAGAATTTTCTGTAGCGTTGGCACCAGCATTGATAAATGGCATTGCAAGAGAGAACAGACCACACCTCTGAGTGAAGGCTTGCTGAAGAAAATTGCCTTCAAAATTTTCACCAATTCTCTTCGAGAAGGCATATAATTCAGCAGAGTAATTCCTAAAATATTGGAATACTATTATAACACCAGATCGGATTAAACTACATTTGAACAGATACAATCACTAAAATCAGAAGTACCATTCCAAAAATGTATTACGGTGATATTTTTTCTCAGGTCCAGCCTCTTTCTTGCGCCTCAAGATTTCTCTGAGCATGAGGACCCTTTCATCAGAAGATGGGGGAGCATGGTTTGAGCGAGTAACTGGAACATGCACAATGATCCCATACATAAAAGTAAATTAACACCACAGCACTGGCATGGGGAACTAACCTATGGAGAGACCAAGTTACTATTTATGACGTTTAAAGAGAATGGCTTGCGCGCGACTTTCTAGGTAATTGAAGAGGAATTAGTTTTAACCCGGTAGTTGCTCACCTCTGTACATGACGCATGATTTGATTGAGTTATTTAATAATTTCGATGCTGCCAAACAACACCTGATGGCCGCCATATTAACTCCCCTTCTGCTAATTCCAGGTTAGCCACATTCGAAAATAGTACCAAGTTTCCAAAAGTATTTTTGTTCTTCGAGTTGAAATTTGTGATGATTATCTAACGCTCTAAAGGTACTCGTGCCGCTTTGATCTTTATTGTTTAACAAAACTTTACTCTTCACTGAAAAAAATATTTGTTTTCTTTGTTATGTTGGCTAAAGAACTGGCGGCATGACATGAAAGGAGCTAAATGATCATGCTGTGATACACTCACGAACTGCCAAAAAAGTGCGTGTTGAGGGGATTTGGAAGAAATGAATATTTTTTCGGGATTGCACAGCACACTAAATATTTTATTCATTTACTAATGGTACTGATGGCACACAGTTACACACAGATTTTAACAGGCAGATGTAACATTAAATGCACATCACTGCACCAACTTCACTACCTCTAAACACAATAGGCAAAAAAGGTACACTATAGGAAATTAAAGTCTTACCACAAATATGAACTATGTCCATTAAGGCCAGTCTTCCTTATGTTCAAAATCAAGTAAAGTAACTTCCTAAGTACTGCATCACTTGCTTAGGGAAACAGTTGCACTAAAAGCAAGTATTAGGTACACAGATATCCAGGATTCCCTGGGTTTACAAGAATAACAGGTGGAGGAATGAAAATACACAAAAGAAACAACTCCACATCTAAAGAAATAAATATAAGAGAGGTTCATATGTATTTTTGTAAAAATGGAAAGTGTATAACATATCACTTCTAAAGGAAACTAATAACTTTTAGTTTTGAAGAATAGGTTACAAAGTACAAGTTGGATTTTTACTCTTAACATTTCTGTTTGTAACTGTCATGCCAACCATAATAAAAATATCACAGTCTTTCCTTACGTACAGTGAACAACCATAATTTTAAATCTAACTGCCTTAACACATACAAACTATTTACAGGGATTTTCTTCTAAAAGGTGATGAATATAGTATCTTAAGAGCAAACATTTCCTGAGTTCCATTGCGTATAACAAATTATAACAAATCAGGCAAAGACATTTCAAACATACTTTCGGTCTTAGGGGAGTTCAGTCTCTTGGATACTCAAATTCAGATGTGAAAAGTCGTTCAAGTGAAAGTAGATTTCAATATACAGTACCTACATCATCACGGCAGCTACTGAATCAAATAAATTAACAAGATACAAAAAAAATGTTTCTGTGGAATGAAGATATCATAAACCTTTACCAATAGAAATGTTGGTCTCACTAAAGCGACTTTACACACTGGGCACCAACCACAATACAGTGGTACAACACATCACTTAATAATACTATGCAAGGGAAATTTGAGAGCCTAATAGACACTTAAAACAGGCCAGCTAAGCTTACACTCAGTTGATACACTGTACAGCATAATAATTATATTTAAAAAATGTGACCTTTCAAACCCTACAAGAGGTCATGAAAAACAGAGTACCAACTATGGGTGTAGTTATTTTTTTAAAATAACAAAAAATTCAGGGAAAAATCCTACACAAAAACATATTACAAGGGTATTCACACAGAATTGATGAGGAATTAAATCTTCAAAATATAAATTTCTATGACAAGAAATCCTATCTCTGTACATTTACAAAACCATAGTATGCACCATGCATATGAATTTTTAAAGATAATTCATGTTGACCTTTGTCAGACCGAAGTCGAAGTACAAGCCACACAAGTCAATAAATAAGAGAGAAGATAAGTTACGTACACGATACAGTTATTAATGCACAATACCTAAGCCCAGTTGAGCTAGCGTCAAAGCAAGCTCCCAAATCGATGCAGTCCAAGATATTGTCGGCTGCTCTACTGTGGTGGAGGCTGATATCCAGGGAATCTGCTCTGGTCATACGACCCGAAAGATCCTTGCGGAGGCGGAGGACCCTGGGGGCCAGGCGGGGGCATTTGCGAGGATGGGGGCCGAGGGTACTGGCCATAGCTCTGGCCAGGGCCTGGTGGTGGCGGATACGACTGATAGCTGTGGGGGTGTTGGGGGTGCTGGGGATGTTGGCCGTGCTGAGGGTGTGCCGGGTAGCCGTGGTGCTGCGGGTGCTGAGGGTAGGGGTGCCCTGGCCCGGCCTGTGGCGACGGTGCGTACGTCTGAGAGGCCGACGGGCTGTACGCCGAGGGCTGTCCCTGTCCGGGCGGTCCGCTCGCTGGTGGGGGCGGCCCGCTCGGCGTCGACTGGGTCGAGGGTGGGAAAGAGCCGGGCGTCGGTGCGCCGGACGCCTGGCTGGACGGCGGCTGGCCTTGTCCTGGCTGCGGGGGCTGTGCAGACGTCGGCGTGTAGCCCGGTCCAGACTGGTGGCCCGGCTGGTGGCTCGGCTGGTTGGCCGGCGGGTAGCTCTGGCTGGGAGGCGCCCCGCTGGAGGCCGCCGCGTAGGTCGGCGCCGTGGACGTCGGCCCCGAGCCGCGGCCGGGGCTGGGCTGGCTGCTGTTGGGGTACTGGCCTGACGCCGCGCCGTACCCTTGGGCGCCTTGCCCAGGGTAGCTGGACGGCGGTCCAGAGCCACTGTAGCTGCCAGCAGGCCCCGGCTGGGAGCCAGGCTGCGAGCCAGGGCCGTAGTTGGGTGCACCGTAGCCCGGGGTGCCTGGGTAGCTGCCCTGGGGGCCACCACTGCTGGGGGCTGGGTACCCGCCTTGCTGGGACGGCGGGCCTGCTGGAGGCGGAGGGCCATAGCCAGGCTGCTGGCTGCCCGGTGGGCCGTAGGCAGACCTGGAAGACAAAGCAACGGTTAGCGGCTACCTCAGAAATATTGGTCCAACTCACGCAGACTTTGGATGAACACTTCAATGCAACATAGAAATGTGGCATACAAGCACCATTCAACATGAAACTTAGCTGTCAAATATTTGAATCTCACCCAGGGGGTTGTTGGCTAGGAGGTGGTGGACCATATCCCTGTTGACCTGAGGGTGGCGGACCATAGCCAGGCTGCTGGCCTGAAGGAGGCGGACCACCATAACTTTGCTGGCTTGGAGGTGGGCCACCATACCCTTGCGGAGCTCCAGAGGCAGAATATCCTCCAGGAGCCTGACCACTTTGGCTTTGCTGCCCAGATGGTGGATAACCCTAAATTTGAACACAAATTTTTAGCATTGACACAGACACTAATATTATTGGAAAACATTTAAAAAATTGTATGAAATATGTATAAATAAATTGAAAGTGTGCGTACCTGCCCTGGGCCTGGATACTGTCCTGCATATCCTTGTTGACCACCTTGAGGAGGGTACCCTTGGGGGCCACCTCGATACTGTTGAGGTCTAGAGCCTGCTGTCACAGATCCTGGCCCTGTCAATAAGAATAAAATGTCAAAACACAAGAACTGTTTCCAAACTATTGCAGATTTCCGAGCCTCAGTGATAAACATTTCTAACCAAAATTAGAGCATATATCTTACTTGGCATTCCTTGCTGACCACGATACGCTCCACCTTGTTGGGCGCCATAACCACCTAGATGTGATGCAGAGGGTGGTGGACCTTGAGTAGCGCTGGGAGGGTCTCCGCCGAGTTGAGGAATAGGCTGTAAATAAAATTACATTTAAAAAAAAAATTTGAAATGAATTTTGAAGAAAGACTTTTACTCTTTTGATTAGGGGCAAAATATTACCGGCAACGTGGATTCAGCAGCATCAGCGATAGATGCAAGATAAACCAAGTTCCTATGAAGAATTTCAATATACCTGCAAAACAAAGATATGTTATAATGTTGAGTAAAATGAATAAACAAAGTTGACAAAAAATTGCAAGAACACTTACTGCATAGATTCCTTGGCCATTCCTTTGTTTTGATAGTCCTGAATGGTCTGGAGTAAATGATTATTTTCATCAAGCATCTGCAAGACACAAAAAATACGAAGTTGGTTAAATGAAAAGTCTTCCGACTTAGCGTCAAAAACAATTTGCACATGTAGCATTTACTCAGCACATATTAGAAAGTGAAGATAAAATTCAACTTTTGACAGGTCAATTTTTAATTTAAGTAAAATTTTATGACATGCTGTAGTTTTACAAGTAGTCTTATTTCTGGCCAGACGGCAAACCTCCTGACAGTGTACTTTGACATTTCATTCAAACACACAGACAGCACAGAACAGATGAGTACAGTGAATGCACAGATCTAACATGGGTCCAAATGTTATTAGCGGCACAAATCGTAACGAGAACTGCCAAAATGATCGTTATTTCGCAAAGATACAGACTCCCGAGCCGGGAAAAGAATTCACTAAGGCCATCAGTTGCACTAAGTATAGAGGACAACGAATGATTGAGAGGAGAGGAATCTCAAATGTTCAAAATTGACATGTTTAAAGGAGAATGTAGTACATTACAGATTTACTAAACTTGAGAAAACGGGAAAATGACGGTTTAAAAAGGGATGCTGTGAGCGTACTCAAGATGGTGCCATTCTCATTTCCAGCTTACCTTTTGAACATGCGGAGGAGCAGGGCTAGAGGGTGGGCGCCCTCGGGTAGCAAACGCGACCGACATTGTGCTCGATAAAAACTTTCACTGTAAACTAAACAAAATACAGAGTAATCCCAGCAAGAACACTCCGACGCAAGCGGCTTTCTTTAGCAGTCAACAAATCATGAAGCTGAGGCCGCCGCTGTTGCCAAGCTTAGCTGTGGCCATATGGTCACTATTTCGGTCAAAACGACCAAATAACAAGGAAAAATAAAATAGTTTAACGTTTATTTTTCTTTGATAGCGCACTTTGAAATACGTTTTAAAACGGAAGTTAAACAACTGCATTAATACGATTTTGTTCAGAACACGGCAACAAATGCCCAACGAAGAGCGGCAACCTTGTTGTGGCGTTGCGCATCAAAAACCCACATCCGTTTCCGCGCAGCGAGCTTTGGGAATCTTTCACCAGCAGCACGCAGAGGAAGACGTAGCCACGCGCAACTGCGGCGGGCTAAATTTCTGAAGTTTTCTTCGAAACTTCAGGAACATGCGTGCTAAGGTATGTAATTTCCTCAAGGAGGAAACTCATCTGCTCAGAAAAGATCTGGTTTATACTTCCACTTGTGGTACTTTGTCGAGTTCAACTTGTAAATTCCATTTGGTACCCCGCCTCGTGGCACCCATGTACCCGGCATCTCCTGGTTGTCGTATTTCTTTAAAATTGTGCGTCAGTTTCATTGTCCTTTCGGATGCTTGTTGAATCGTGATGTCCTTCTGATTAAGATTTACTAACTTCCAAGCCCGTTTTCACATTGTGCCGAATTTAACCTCACTTTGTCGTTGTGTCCATACGTGCATGTTGATTCGGCGCACGTTTTGAGCGAACTTGGCTTACCTGTTCACGGCCATCTTAACGAAGCATGAATTTTGAAGTGTCTTACATTGTCTCTGGCCCTTTACATTCACATCGAATTTGTGTCTTTGCAAGTCTGGGCAAAGGAGCCTTTGCTGGATATGCGTTGTGCGTCACTAAGTTGTTATTTGTGTCTTGAGTTTATTTTCTGTGATTGGGACTTACACATTAATGTCTCGTTTGTGCGCTGTGGTATTAATATGATGGTTTTTAACTCTCTCTTCAAAGTATGATGTTCGCATGTGAACTCACCCAATGACTGATCTGTTACCACTCGCATCGAAATCATATGAGCATTGTTGGTTGTCGAAGTGTTCATTATTTCACTCCGTTTGTTTTAATGTGTCATTATTTTGTTGCAGTGGAGGAAGAAGCGTATGCGCAGGCTAAAGCGGAAGAGGAGAAAGATGAGGGCAAGGTCTAAGTAGACTGTCTCCCCCATTTCATGACTTCCTATAATTTTTGGTTAGTATTGTTTTGGTGCTTTTGAGAATTTTGTGTTTGTTCTTTGGTTTTACCTCTTGCCATTTCTTTGCAGGCGTCCTCTCCTAAAATTCTGGCTGCTTCTGTGGATACTTCTCTACCACCACAATTTTACTTAATAAAATTCACAGAAAATTACTCTTTGCGTCTTTAGTTAACTACCTTCCTGTTCACATTGAGCCATGTGCTTGTCCAGATGAATCATGACACATGAAGATGCAGCTGAGGTTCTCGGCTCAACCAAATGTTCTCTACTGACACCTGCTACCCATTGAGCATACTTGAAATAGAAGCTAGGTCAGCTTATCTTTAATAAACTTGATAAAAACATGCGATAGAAACTTCCTGCACAGGGCTTTGTCAACAAACAGATGCTGAACATTCCCTTAAGTGGGTCATGAATTACAGTACCCCCCTACTGGCAGCTCGTGCTAAACTGACATAAGGTGAGACGTGGGACTGTTCAACACGCTTGAGTAGGTTTCTGATTAAGTGATTACGCAAAAATGAATCACGTGACGGGGTCGCAATGAGGCACACGGCAGATAAGTTCTCGCTAGGTGTTTTTCGATAGAATTAGTGTCCACGCACTCGGGAGGATAGGTCCACGCACATTTCTGAAAATAGAGCAAAGCATAACTTTTCAACGCGTTGAGCGTTTCCCTTTCGTATCTGTTGCTGCTCAAACGCCCGGTTTGCGCGACTGTATGGCAGCCTGAGGTGGTGGGGCGTGGGGTTAGTCTCCTGACAGGTATACCTCCCTTATGCCCAACCATCTCCTCATGACGACTTAAAAGTTCTGTCTGAGTTTTGCACTTTGCTTGTTTAGAATTTGGTATTAACGTTTGAGTATTTCCGAGGCATGTATTGATAGGGCTTATCACATCAATCGCCCCATTAGATAGTGGCAGAACTATTTGTATCATCATGTCATCAGGAATAATTGGGTGTAAATCCAAGATGGATGTGTAATGTTTGTTACTGGACGACTTTTCTGCTGTGATAAACATGAACCCTTGAAATGGTTACACCCTAATTTATAGTGTGGAGAAGTGACTGGCCTAGAGCCTAAGGCACAGTCATGGGTGGACGGGATTCCAAACCGTGCTGCATCAATTATGAAGACGCAGTACGGAGAGGTAAGCACGACAACCAGCCCTTCTGTGCTGTCTCTGTCTCTGTCTGAAATGTCAACACTATCACACACATCAAGACTTGCCTCCCATGCCGAGGTGTCTCCTCAACATTTTCATTATCTTCAGTTACAATATTTCTTTGTTAGTTGCTTTCGACCTCGTTTATCTTGTTGGTCATTCTTCAATTCATTTTCCCTGTTTTGCCAACTTGTCAATTACTCTGATACTTGTGGGGGGAGACAAGGTACTACCATGATTTCCTGTCGATCCATTGGAATACTTTTCAATGGGGCCTTTGCTCGCATTATTTTTCTGTTGGCTTTGTCCATGAAACTCTGCAACATTTGGGACACCTCTGTGTTATGGAGCCTGTCAAAGTGTTTCCAATTAGTGCCATGCTCTTTTGGTTGTTACTTCTGTTATTTAATTTTCCTGTTTTGCTTTTATGAATCCAGTGAGTGAATCGGAGCTGAAACGAATTAGAGAAGCATTTAAGCGAGCGTCAAATGTCGGTGGTGTTATTACCAAGTCATCCTTCCTCAAAGAAGTCTTAGGTGAAGGCGTGCCTAGAAACATTGCTGAGGTAAGTTTTAGATGAAACTGATTTGTGTATAGATGAAACTGATTTGTGTAATAAACATGCAATTGTTGATTTTGTCTCTAACTCAAAACTATTACTTTCAGCATATCTTTGCAGCATCTGGTGGAACTCAGAAAGGCATTGCATTTGAAAAATTATTATGCGGCCTAGTTCTTTTAACTCGAGGCAATAAAGATGAAAAAATTAAATGTAGGTCTTTGTTTTACTTTTCATAGTTTTCAAATTTCAATTAATATAATTGCATTAAATGTATGACTTTTTTCTCTCAAAATTTCAGTTCTGTTCAATTTATACTCCAATGAGTCCGGAACCTATGTCCTAAGAGATGATATAGAACGGTTGCTTTCTGCCTGTGAAAATGGGAGGAAGCCGCTCGAGCTATCTGGTCTCTTTCAAGATCGTGATCGGGCATCTTGGGAAGAGTTTCGTGATTGGGTCCAACTAAATACGAATGCAACATCCCTAAGCCGCTGGCTACTAACTGAACCATGCTCAGTTTCTCTAAGCAACGAACATGAAACTCCTACCTTCTACCAAACACTTGCAGGAGTTACACATTGTAAGATTTAATATGTGTCATTTTTCAACTTAGTTTTGTCCAATGCATCAAGTTTTACTGAATGTATTCCTCCTATTTAGTGGAAGAAAAGGACATCATTGAGCTGGAAAAGCGTTATTGGGTACTGAAAGGTCAGTCAAGCACTGGAAGACTTGATCTTGAAACTCTTGGTCCACTTTTAAGTCCGCCAGTTCCATTGTCTGTTTGTGCCGGAGTGTTTGGAGCATTTGATGAAAATCGTGATCGACACATTGATTTCAAAGAGATGGCTTGTGGAATATCAGCAGCTTGTCGTGGACCCACCACTGAGCGCCAAAAATGTAGGTTGCTCCATTATTTTCGCAAAAGATATCTATTGTACTGTAAATCTGTGGCCAGCAGTAGTTAATGAGAGAAAATGTGTTCCAGTCTGCTTCAAGGTTTTTGACTCTGACCGAGATGGGATTTTATCACCTGGAGAATTGCAACACATGGTAGATGTTCTTTTATTCGTCTGCCAAGAAAGTCGATCCAAAGACGACATTAAAGGGAAAAATGAGTTCGGAGGTAATTGCAAGTTTAAATATCATGTACTATTTACGTGCATGAATTTTGGGCGAATATCAACTATGAAATTATTCAACAATGGTTCTCTTCACATTTGATGTTGTTTTCATTTGTATATGCATTGTGTTTCAGATCCAAGTTCAATAATTTCAGAAATTAAAAAATATGCCAGCGGAGAAGGGCTTACTTTAGAAGAATATTTGATGTGGACTGTTGACAACAGCTTGTCTTCCCATTTCTTAAACTTGCTATTTCAGGTAATGTTGTTTTCTTGTTTATTTTGTTATGTCTCTGCATTTTTACTTTCCTTTCATATGATCAAGAAACTCGTTTCCTCTTATTTTTAGGTTTGTCATGTGGTACTTGGTCTCAGACCACAGTCTCGTCAAGAAGAAGGTTCTATTGTCAATGGGTGGCTTGAAAGAGAAGTAACAAGAGGCTACATTGTCGGCCAGTTTTGGTACTTGGTAGCCATGGATTGGTGGAAACAATGGAATGAGTATGTGTCCATGCCTTACCCCAATGTAAATGTGAGTATTATGCCTTGTTATCCTTTTTGAGTTTGTTTTTTTTTTCTGTCGAGTTTATTGTTTTATCTTTACTTCATTACAGTCCACTCTGGAATACTCTATTGGTGTGGATGCTACTACACCTGCTGGTAGTCTGGAGCTACAAACACCTTCCTTGACAAGTAGCAACGGCAGTGGGACCAGTGGCATTAGTAGCATGAGTGCTGCAACTAGAGCCAAACTCACTGAATCAACTAATTCTTTGACTCATTTGACTTTAGACTGCCCTAGGTAGAAACTTGAACTTACCTAGATCTTTAGATGGTTCCTCATTTTTATTTGCCTCTGTAATAATTATATTTATCTATTTCTATTTTGCAGTAGTACATCCAGTCCAAGCCATTCTCCAAGGCCTAATCGCCGTCCTATTGTTGGACATAGAATGCCTCAGAAACCAGGACCTATAGACAATTCTGCACTTGTGGCCACTCCATTTCAAAGAGTGCTCTCTTTAACTGGAGAAGGCGGAAAACTGAAGAAAAACCTTGTGCTTATGAGGTATACAGATTTTGAACTTGTACCTGATTCACTGTGGAAAGCTCTTCACCAGTGGTATGGTGGCTCTCTTGCTCTCCCACGACAAGTGATAAAGCCCAAAAATAGCTCAGAGGTTGAGCTAGAGTTATATCCTCTTACTATCCGTCTACTCAGACATCAGAGTCAGCCATCTCGAGCTGGGCCTCAAACAACCTGGACTGGGATGGTTGGTGGCTATGGCGCAGCTGCTCTAAGTAAGTCTGTGGTTCTGCTTGATTCAGAATCAATTCTCATATAGTATCTGTGCCCTCTAACTTTTTTTTTTTTTTTTTTTTTTCAGGTACTACAGGCTATGCATATGTGTCAAATTTAACTCAACCCAAACGGTATCTGGCACACAGTGCTACATTTAGTCGAATGGCAACTGTTAAGGAGGTTTATGACTTTTTAAGCCAGAGACTCAGAATACGCCCAGAAGATATGCGACTATGGCATTTCAAAGATGAGGTACTGAAGTTTGTCTGATCTTTTATAATTTTGTCTGGGTCTCCATTTAAGATGTATAATACTATTTTATTTACTTTCTTATTTCCTTTCTACAGAACAACATGACAGTACTAGAGGATGAAGAAGCTTCACTAGAGGATCTCAGTGTTCTCGATGAAGATCAGTTGTTGATAGAAGTGCGCAATAAGGACCTTACTTGGCCCGAAGAAATGGGAAGTTTACAGGATCGACGACGATCGTGTTCAGGTAAATCTTAATCCCACACACATCATTAGTTATTTTATTCATCCAAGAAATTAATTAATTTTTATTTTTCAAAATTTGCTTTAGTTCCTGCTGAGAAAGGAGCAACTGGTCTTAATAATTTAGGAAACACATGCTTTATGAATGCTGCTTTACAATGTGTCAGCAACACCAGGTCACTCACTCAGTATTTCACTGCAAATATGCATCTTTATGAGCTCAACAGGTAAGTTTGTGAAAAAATATCTGAAAACATATTAACTTTCATTTGGGTACTATCATTAATGATAAATATTTGTTCTGCAGAACAAACCCTTTAGGAATGAAAGGCCATATTGCAAAGAGGTACGGAGACCTTATTCAGGATATATGGAGTGGTTCAGCTAAAACTATTGCTCCTCTCAAGCTTAGGGTGAGTAAAAGTTTTTTTTTTTTTTTTTTTTTTTGTCCTTAAATGTCTTCTTTAATGAGGGTTGGTATTGACTTTTTTTCCTCCTTTTTTTCCTGTAGTGGACCATTGGAAAGTATGCACCTCGCTTCAATGGAGACCAACAGCATGATTCTCAGGAGCTACTTGCATTTCTTCTTGATGGTTTACATGAAGACTTAAATCGTGTTCATGATAAGCCATATACTGAGCTGAAAGATAGTGATGGCCGCTCTGATGTTACAGTGGCTCAAGAGGTGCGACTACATTATTTAATCGAGGTGGAGGTGTTTACCCTTAGCCCTAGTTTGCACCCTCACAATTATATTTCTTTTGTTGTGATTTTTCAGGCATGGGAAAATCACATATTACGCAATAAATCAATTGTAGTTGACCTTTTCCACGGTCAACTGAAGTCTAAAGTCATTTGCAAAGTTTGCTCACATGAAAGTGTTCGTTTTGATCCTTTCAATTACTTGTCATTGCCTTTACCAATGGAGTCATACATCTATATTCAAGTCATAGGTCTGTAATGCATCACAAAAAATATCAGTTGAATTAAGTTGAACCATCTCCTTTTTTATATGAAAGGATCAAAATTAATTCTATTTGTTTGGCTACAGCTATTCGCCTTGATGGATCTGTACCTGTGAAGTATGGGCTCCGTCTGAACATGGATGAGAAGTATGCCCAACTCAAAACGCAACTTTCTCAGTTGTGTGATATCCCTGCACATTTACTGTGCCTAGCAGAAGTGAATCAAGCTCAAATTAAGGTATGTTCTACAGTTTGATATGTTACCAAATCTACAAGCAAGTCTGCCTGAATGTAGCAAATACTGATTTCTGCCTGTCTTTAATCAGAATGTGCCGTCGGATGACCAAAAAATTAAAGGACCAGTATCAGGATCCTTATTTGCTTATGAACTTCCAGCATCAGAAAATTGCAGCAACTTTGATGATGAAAGAGCATCATTATGCTCTACTCGATCACAACGTGAAGGGCAAACCTTAGTTGCTATCCAACGAACTGTCACACCTCGTTCTGCTCTTTCAGGTATGAACGAGCTTTTTTTCTTTTCCAAATGAAATTTGGCCTTGCTGACTACTGTTTGACTGGTTGCTTTCCCTCTGCAGTTGGTTCAAGTGTGTTGAATGGCCACGCCAGTGAAGACACGGCAAGCGTGTGGTCGGGATCGGGCTCTGGTTCTCGGCCCGGCCCCCGCCCTGCCGGTGAGGTAAGATGGCCAACGTCTTTCTGCATGCCTGCATATGCACTCTTGTGCTTTAAGGTACAGTACTGCTGCCTTCTGTCACAATCTAGACGTGGTGCCAGAGTGTTTGTCAGTCCTGAAAGCCTCGTCATCCTGGGGGGGCCATTGCCAGTTATGGTGTGATTTTGAAAGAGAAGTCCTGCTATTCCAGCAACCTATTGACTTAGTTTCAAAGCCTCTTTTCTTGATGATAATTTCATTACTTTAAAACATTTCACTGTGATAAGCTCTGGCACCACTTACACATAAGTATGGACATGCCTGAATGCAGTGAACATATAACTGCCCAGAATATTTTGTGAGATCTAAAAATAAATTTGGGTGTGAACAATTACATTCCACATACACAGTCTTAGTTTGGAAAATTTTAATGTCATGATCTTGTGATTTGAATTCACGATAAAGATGAACTAATGAAGTCATTCTCGCCACCCTTAGTTCTACAGTCCTAGGTCACCACATGATTTTGTTTTCCAAATCATCACAAGTAAGTGGGAAGTGGGAGACTAGAGATGCTTCAAATTTTCTGTGGAACTTTCTCTTCACTACTTTTTAAATCTAATTACATTTGTGTGTGTCTCATCAAGTTTATCAGCCACACTCGCATTAATTCCTGATAAGTTTTTAAAGCTCTCTTTTTTTCCTCCAGTTGGTAAATTTTCTCTTTCTTAAAGCAGTTCCAGAGAATTGATTTGAGTACATAATGACTTTTCCACATGCATGGGCATTGTCCACACTGTAACAAGCAGATAATTCAATTGGGTTTTCTTCCTCATCTGCATTTGGCATACAGTAGTGTTGTGCATGTAGGAAACATATCTAGTCTAATTTCAAGTTGTCACTAATTTTATTTTTAATTTCATTATCTTTTATCTCTATAACTTTGGTGTGGTAGAGTTTGGTGCTTTCTCTTAATTTTGGTTTCAATTTTTTTCCGTTTTTTATTATTAAACAAAGGTGAAGGTAAAATGTGCATGATTAGTAACTTCATTTGTAATTATTATTTCTTAATGTTTGCTGTATATAAAATGCAAAGTTTAGCTGTCTCTGTAGAGTATTTGAGGTGTTTGGCTTCTCAAGTTACTTTGAAGTATCTCGTAACTAGCAACAGTAAATAAAAGATCATCTCAATCTTGTGAGAAGGTTCCCCTATCTTGTAGTATGCATTTCATTTTTTTTCTCCATATTTTAGTTGTTATTCATTTCATTCGGGCTTTAAAGTATTTTAGTCAATGAGATTATGGTTTCATCCACTGATTCAAGTAGTAGTTCAGACTTACTAAAGATGAGATAGGAATTTTGTTGGTACAAAGCAGTGGCGTATTATCAGTGGGATGCGCACACAGTAAACCATGTACCATGTATAGGTATGGTAAGTAAACTAAGATGAAGGGTGTCATAGTCATCTTGTCATTGTAAATACCATAGTAGCAGTGACCCATTAAATTTTATTTGCAATGTGTTGAACTACATGGCATTTCCTCTTCTTATGTTGGATTCCTGGTTAACTACTCAAAGTTTGCTATATCATAAATGCTTAGCTTTTCATGCAGGCCATATTTGCTTTTATGTTGTTTTTGGTTGTTTTGTTGTTTTTTCTTTATTAATAACGTAAAAGTCTATTGTTTTGTTTGATGTGTGATAATGGTTTCAATGAAGTAGTGATTATAAATGACATGAAACCACCAAAATACTTGTGGAGTATCACTTTTTAATTACCTTTCGGATATATTGCATTCATGGTTTCCTTCTTTCTTTATCTGGCTCTCTTAAACTTGAAGTGTCTCATTTTTGTGGTCTATTTTCTTTAGAGCCCGTCGTCACCTCCAAAGGATACTAAAGACAGTCCAGATGTCGAGTCTGTAGACTCGGGCTTACCCACATCTTCTGCAAGCATTCCTCTTGCACCCAGCAGTAGCCAAGGCTCAGCAAGCAGTGGAAGTTTGTGTGACATGGATGTTGGAATACCTTCTCAACCAGGATACATAGTTGCTGTACACCGCAAAATGGTACCACAAATTTAACTTGATAACAAGTTTGAATTAATTTATCATACTGTATTACTTCATCGGTTATTTGTTCCTGCTCATGTAGATTCGTCAGGACGTATACTTCATGTCATCTCAGAAAACAAAACCTAGCCTCTTTGGGCTTCCCATTATTGTTCCATGCTCAGAGAGTACCACTCATCAGGACTTGTATCAGTCAGTTTGGTTACAAGTCGCAAGATTAGTGTCACCTCTGCCTCCAACTGATCCTGCTGTGTCCAACCATGCTCAAGACTGGTAACTTTGTAGTCTATCAGTAATGTTAATATGGAAAATTTTACAAAGTAATGTTCAATGTGCCTAACTTGCTCTTTTCTATTTCAGTGATGACAGTTTGGGTTATGAATTCCCATTCATTTTGAAAGCTGTTGGGTCAACAGGAATTCAATGTGCTTGGTGTCCATGGTATGAGTTCTGTCGGGGATGTCGTATCCAGTGTAATGATACTGAATTCAAAATGAGTAGTAGCTACCTAGCTGTGGACTGGGATCCCACAGCACTTCATCTCCGGTATCAGACATCTCAAGAACGGGTGAGATTTATGCATTAACTGTTTAAACATCACCATTAATTGTTAATTAAATTCGAAACACTCCTCATTTATGACTCTGCTTTTCGGTTGTTAAGGTTTTCAACGATCATCCATCTGTTGCCCAAACTAGAATACAGCAATCCAGCCCTATCGAGTTGGACTCTTGCCTGGAAGCATTTACCAAAGAAGAGCATCTCGCTGATGATGAGAAATACTATTGTTCAAAGTGCCGTGATCATCAGCTCGCTTCAAAGAAGCTTCAAATTTGGAGACTACCTCCAATTTTAGTAAGTGTAATCTTGTATTTGTACAAGGTGGCATGTGGTTTTATTCATCCAGAGCCCAGAACTGATGTTGCTTCTTATCTTTGTTTCAACTATAGATTGTACATTTGAAGCGCTTTCAATTTGTTGGTGGAAAATGGGTCAAGTCTCAAAAGGTGGTGAACTTCCCTTTTGAAAATTTCAATCCCACATCATACTTAGCAGCAGTGCCTAAACAAACTGTAATTAGGCATCATCAATTAAAAACTGAAAAGTCTCTTCATGAAACGTCCCAGAATGACCTGTGAGTTATTTAGATAGTGGCATAAAACATTACTTTTAAAACCTTTTCTTACATTGCCTGAAATTTTGTAACAGAAATATTGCTGAAGAAGGCGACTGTGGAAGAGTGTGCACCCCTCTCAACTCTGTGAATGAAGGTACCCGCAAGCTCTCCATGCTTCGTAAGTCTTCAGTGGCAGATACTATATGGGAGGGTGAGAGTGACAGAGAAGCCATGGCTAATGGAGACCTTGGCGCTAGTAAAGATGTTATGCGATCCAATGAACAAAAAATTGGTGGCAGAGAAAGGCTTGTCTCAACGTCTTTAACCCAGACCCCAGTTGTAGATTCAGCTTTACAGGATTTTCATCAGCATCGCTTGATACCTGGGGTAGATCCTTTTGACTTGAAGTACCGTTTGTATGCTGTTGTTGTGAGTATCGGTCTGCTCTTTTTTATCTTACTTTTACTCCAGGTACCACATTCATTGCCTATAATTGTTTTTCTTGTTATTTCAGTGTCATTCTGGGATTTTAGGTGGTGGTCATTATGTCTCATATGCCTGTAACCCCAACAGCAAATGGTACTGTTATAACGACAGCAGTTGCAGGGTAAGCCAATAGCAATGAAAACTTTCTGCATCATCAGGCCTTTTATTTTTGTTATTACCTCTCTTAATATTTTCAGGAGGTCACGACTGGTCAAATGGACACAAGTTCAGCGTATATGTTATTTTATGAACGAGAGGGATTGTGTCAAGATCAATATATGCCCAATGTTGCAGGAAAAGTACCAGACAGATTAGATTTAGATGATGATCTGGACTCTGACCTAAAGCGTTGCTGTCTCATGTAAAGACTGCTTGGCATTCATTCTATTCTAAATGATGCCCCTCTGTTTGGGCTCAGCTATTCGCTTTACCTGCCATATGTGCACACATGCTCTTCTTGCTAGAGAGTCTCTGAGGCTCTCTACTTCTTGCACCTTGATAATTTACATCCAGCCATTTTCCAAACATTTGGATTTCAAGCATTGATATGGAAATGGATTTTAAAGAAGTTCTATATTTTCTATATTTATTATATTTATAGCCGAAACTGTTGTGCTTTAACTAAATTAAGGTGGGACAACTTGTAATTTGCTTGTATATTTGATGCATTGTGATACACTGTAAGTTGTTATTTATTTTCCTGAAGGTTGCATTCCCTGCTGTAGTCATTAATTTTTGAATAATGTTCAACGCAGCTTGAAAAGGAAAAAAAGAGGGCGGGAAAGATAAAAAATGCTGCTGTCTGAGCTGTATAAGGGACTTAAGAGGTATGGAGGAAAGGCAATGTGCCATTGTGATATTTAAATGTTGTATTAAGATCTTTTGGCTCGGGTCAGCTCTTCCCTGATCTGACCAGCAGCTGACTAAAAATCTTACAATGGCAAGATAAGTGATAACAAAGTATCATGTACGGTATATGCGTATTTCTGATTCATGTGACACTGTTAGCAAGTGGGAAAGGCTTCTTCGTTAAGCTATAATTTTGATTTTCATTTCAACTTGTCTCCATAATGCAAAATGTGTCATACTTTTCTCCCTCTGTTTTCCAAAGTGTTATCATTGTTATCCAGCCCAAGGGTGTTTTGTTTTAAAAGTCATAAATAAGCTTTATGTGATTGTTTCGGTATGTTGAAGTGTCATTCAACCCTTACTCTCAATTTTTAATTGTGCCATATTGAAGTAGCATGGGTGAGAAAGTAGGGGGCTGGATCTAGTTGAAGAGGGTGCTCACATATTTGCATTTGTACCCCTAACATTCCCATGTCAATAATTGTTTATCTGTCATAAATGCAATACTATGAAAGTTGCAGTAGAAATGCAGCAAATTGTTTTTGTTTTGTTCTTTTTTCTTCTTTTTTTTTTTTTTTTTTTTTGTAGTGTTATGAATATGTGGAGAGTTGTTGATTGATGTGTTGTTAGTTTGTAAGAGTACCTAATAACAGAGAGGAAAAGCTTTGTTCAGGAGTTGCCTTGTTTTATTCTTGTTATGAATGATTGAAATATTTTATTCAGTATTTAGGCACCTGATATTTTGAATGTGCTATTTCATTTTACTGTTATTCCGAAATTAGAAATCTGCTTGCGAGGATTGTTACTTTTATCAGAACAAAAAAGTGGTACCCATGTGCAATAGTAGCAGCTACTGTTACTCCTCTTTAATTGTTTTATGTGTTACTTCTGTTTATGTTAAAACCCTTGCTAAATGACTCTAGTCTATTGTGTTCAAAATGGTCCTATCAAGTGTCAAAAAACAATGTCAAAGGTACTGCATTGATTTTAAATTTACCAGTGTCAGTGTGCCATGCTTACTTGCCTCGTTAGGGAAATTTTTTCTGATAAATTTGTTGCATTTGTGTATGTAAACTGCCCATGACATGATTGAGCACTTTGATCAGGGCTAGTATAGCTGTGGTCCAAGCACTGATATTGTAATATGTGATACATTTAAGTCTATACTTTATGTTTTAACTTTTGTGCTTGGTGTTCGTTCATTGACTTGGCTCATCTCCCATATCATCATATATTACTTATATACCAGCCTATGTAAAACAGGCAATAGGCTGTAATCATTTAACCAAAGCCAATTCTTTTTCTATAAATCATAAAAAATGCGTTGAAATTAATACCAAAATGGTGTAAAGTAATTGAGTGTGGCACTCATCAGTTTCATATCCAATTTAAGGAAGAAAATTTGTCTGCTTATTTTCAATTGAGAAGGCAAACCGTTCTCTGCCCTGCATTGAAGTCTCTTTTATTTGTACTTTCTCCGGGGTGCCCAGAATATTACTCTCAGTGGTTCTCAGGTTGCATGCTAATACTTATCCTGCACTCTTTTTATGATCAATAGTGGCCTGGATTAAATTATGATTTTTATTTTGCACTTCATGTTAAGAAAAGAGTACCTGTCAATATGATGACGTTTTTGCAAGAGGCTCTTCAGTCTGTGCTCTCTTTTTCCTGCTTTTTCAAATCTTTGTTTCATTTTAAATTCGGATATCTCTTCAATCAACACCCCACAGCGACTCAATGAAAGATTAGACTTTTAATTGTAGGGTATGATCATTGGTTCAAACGAGGGTTCAACAGCAGTTGCACAAAAATTATTTTAAAAATTCATTTTTTAAATTTAAAATGTAACATCAACATTCTATTTCCTTGCCTTTAGGATATAAGGAGACCAATTTGAAAGAAATATGCCATTAGGCACTGAACAATACTCTAATATAATAATGTTAAGTATATTTTTGATGAGAGGCAAGGCATGGCTACACACAGGCTGTTTGGTTGTACTTGATGCATTTTTGTGTAGTAAGATTGTCCAATAATCGGTGTATCGTTATTATTAATACTTTCTCAGTGGATTTATAACTATTCTTTACTGTCTCAAAGTTTGATATCTATTTCAAAATGTGAAGATATTGAGCTAGTTCGTAGCACATCCCAAGTTTAATGAAATATGAAAGAGCTATATGAAAGAGAAAAAGACACTGTACAAGCTGGCGATTTTATTTGAGCATCCTATTTGTATGCCCTGAATTTGTTGGTTTGTGCATAATGTTATCACTTGATTAAAAAGATTATATGTGTTACACTGATAACTGGGATTTCTCATTTACCATTCGAATTCTCTCAATATTTAACTACGTTAGCGCCAATGAGATATCGGAGATATGCAACCTCCGCGTTGCCCAGCTACACCACGTTATACAATGGGCTATTGAAAGGAAAAGCACTGTACGCTGGCCGGTTTTTTCGGCATCCCGAGACCCTGAATTGGGTTTGTGCCGTCATGTTACACTTGATTGCTCCTAGTGTCGAACTGATAGGCCGGGATTTCTCAGTGTCCCGACTCTCTCATGTATTTAACTATTCCCCTAAATTCCCGGTTCCTTCCGTTCCCCACCCCAGTGCCTACGGGCCTTGCAGATGGCGCCGCCGTCGGTCCGGGCAGGCATCCCGGACGGTGATGGGGGCCCCTTGGGCTCTTGTTGCTCCGGGGGGTCGAAGGGTGGCCCCGGGGGCCGCGGGCCGGCCTGCGGAAAGGGCAACGGCGATTCCGTTCCTTCCGTTGCCCCCCCAAAGAGCCGCCCTTTCCAGCCGGGGCGGGAAGCAGGGCGGCCACCGCGGGGGTGAGCCGTGCTTGCCGCGTCCCTCGGCAGGGGCCCGGGTGACCGTGCCCGGGCAGCGCCGCCGGGCCCCGGCCTCCGGGTGCCCCCGCGCCCGCCCTCCCGCCGTGCGGGAAGCCCCCGGCCCCGGGGGCCCGTGCCCGCCGCCGCCTCCCACCCCACCCCCGTCCCCCCACCGTGCCCGCCACCCCCCGTGCCCGCCTCCGTGAACCACCCCCTGCCCTCCCGCCGTGCCCACCCCCGTGCCCACCGCCCGAGAAGCCAGCCCCCGTGCCCACCACCTGAGAAGCCCACCCCCGTGCCCGCCACCTGAGAAGCCACCCCCGTGCCCGCCACCTGAGAAGCCACCCCCGTGCCCGCCACCTGAGAAGCCACCCCCGTGCCCGCCACCTGAGAAGCCACCCCCGTGCCCACCACCTGAAAAGCCGCCCCCGTCGTGCCCGGGGTCCCCCAAGGCCGCCGAGAAGCAGCCGCCCTCGAACTCTTGCCCTTCCAAGCCCCAGGCCGCTTCCTAGAGAGGGCGAAGCCCGGCGACGCGGTGCCAAAATAAACTCACAAATGCGCGCCTCAAATAGAAAAGCTGGCCTGCAACGTCGATAGTGCAATCAACTCATCACTATCGATCCCAGATTCCGTCTCTAGCCGACTCGACTGCCAAGGACGACTGGTGGCCGTCGGCAGAAGGGCCGCGCTGCCGCGCACTCGGCACGCTCGCTCAGCGCGCACGCGGCGGCCGTTCAACTTTGCCACTGTATGTCGGCCTGTCGGCCTGTGAGAGCGTCAGAGCCAGCCCTGCGAGTCCTCGCAGCACCGCGCAGCACCCCAATTGGCAACCTTGACAGTGCTGATGGCTAGATTGCGGCGCTGTGGCCGGTTCACTGTAAGGCTGTTCGCGGCGACATCGCCCTGCCCACGGAGCGTGTCCGCGACTCCCCGACCAGTCGACAGGGCGCGCCTGCTGTCCGGTGCGGCCGGCTCGTGCAGGCTTTGTGGTGCCGTGCGCCGCCCGGCCGAGGCCACTTGTTGATAATAGCAAAAACCGATAGGAAAGCAGCCCTGGGGTTTAGGGAATTGGACGACCTGCCGACTGAATCCGAGAGTCATTTTCGTCGCGCTCTCTCTCTCGCACCTTTACGGCACGGCCCATGAGTGCGAGAGAGACAGCGACGAAAACGACTCTCGGAATCAGTCTGCTGGCCAGTGGCGGCTCGCCGCTCGGAGCCTTGAACCGCAAGCACGCCAAGTTCCAAACGCGAACGCGCCAAACGGGCTGCCGCCGCTCCGCTGTGCTTCCTCCCTCACGCTGACCTACATCTGGTTATCGAGGCGGGGGCGGCCGCGAAAATATTCGTCTCCTTCAACCCGGCGGCCAGCGGCGCCAGCGGGGAGCACCGCAAGTGGCGCGAGGGCGATGGGTATCTCGAGCGCAGCGGCACGCCAAGCCTGGCCAAGCCGCAAACTGCACGTCCAGCCCATCCTGGCTCTGGCGGTGGAGCTTCTAGCCTGCTAGCGCCTGCGAGGGCCCGGGTAGGCCGCCACGCCGCCCTGCGCGCACCGCTGTATGACGGGACGGCCTACCCCGCCACCGTAAGGGGCCATGGCGCCTGGCGGGTAGGCAGTCGCGTGGGCAGCTCTGTGCCGCGGGCGTCCCTTCGCTCCACTGCTACACTGCTTCACTGGCCGCCGCGGCGCGCTCGTCTCTTCGCTTGTCTCGCTCCGGAAGGGAGGCGGGCGTTCGATTAGGCCAGCACCCACAGTGGAAGAAACCCCGCGCACTTTGACTGGGCGGCCCCCTGCCCCGCCCCGCCCCGCAGGGACTACTCTAGATAGGGTTTCGGAATGCAGCTCTAGCCGATCCAGCTATGTACAGGAAGATGTCGACGAATTTGTCGCGCCAGTTTGTTGACGCGCTGGGCCGGCCGGCGTGGCGGCGTGGCCCGGCCAGATAGGGATGTGACGCTGTGACGCGCTGGGTCAGCAACCCCAGCACAATGAGATGACCCACCTCGGTCTCCGGTCTCGGTTGCTAGGCTAGGCCGGCTAGGCCGGGCCGGCCAGTCCCACAAGGCCCGATTAAGTGAGGAGGCTCGCGCAGGGCGCGTGGATTTCGATCCAAACACCGGACTCTCCCATCGCGAAAAAGGGGGAAGAGCGGGGCACTTGGGGGCGTCAAGGTCCCGAGAGGTGGCGTGATAAGAACCATCGTCCGCATAACTGCAACTTTTGAAGAGGGCAGTGGATGGGAGGAAAGCGATGCCCCGCGTATGATGTCACGCCACCGAAATGTGGGCCAGCGTCAGTGGTATTTTTAATTTTGTTTCGTCGCTCGAGTGCAAATAACACACGCCATTATCGGCCACGCCGCGTTGTCACGGTTCCCTGGACACGGACGTAACGTGTGCGCCGCGCTACGCTACGCTGTGTGTCGACACAACAGCACACTCGTGAGGGCGCGCGGGGGCTGCTGGGCCGGGCGGGGTGCAGGGTGGATGGGCGGGTGCAGTGCTCCGCCGAATACACTCATTCCGAGAGTCGCTTTCACCGCTCCGTCTCTCTCACACTCACGGAGCTCTCCGTAAGCGAGCGGCAATGACAGCGACAATTATCTGAATCACTCGGCCGGCCCCGTTATCAAACACGGCGGTGCGGCGCGGCGCGGGCCTAGCCGGTCTAGCCGGGCCGAAAGGCCGGGCCACGCCTCGGGGGGCTGATGGCTCACTCCTTCCGTCGCCTCCCTTTGCATCACGAGAGCGGATTCCGCAGTTTTATTGCACGCCGAGATAGGCATAGACGACGGCGGCGTCGCCTCCCTCGCGGGCCGAGGCGCCAAGGCGCCGAGACAGGGACTGCGAGCAGGCACCGGTGCCGACGGCGCAGTGTGCAACAGGGTTCGAGTCCCGGGCTTGGTGAAGCTTTTCCCCAGTTTACTTCTGCAATCCAGTCCTTCCCTCTCTCCCTCTCGCTGAGCATCAAGTACGTGCGAAGGGCGCGGAGCAGCGCGGAGCGGAGGCAGCAAGGCTGGCGGAGAGAAGCGAAGGTTATCGCAGAGCCGCGAAGGATTCCCGGGGCAAACACGTGGCCGAGTTGACGTTGACGCTCAAACAACAGAAAGTAGCGAGCGGTGGGCGCTGCGGGGAAGGCGGCGTGTAGTTGTTGGAATTGGGGTAATGCAACAGACCGATTAGCCGCGCCTTTCGTTGTGACGCCTTGTGCGCCTTGTGTGCACGCGGCGCCGTCGTGGCCGCGCCGTGGTGGCCGCGCTGTCGCCGCCGCCGTCACCGCCCGCACCGCGCGGTGTGGCCGCCGCCGTCGGGAGGGAGTACGGAGGAGCCGCCGGAGGGTTGATTCCGAAGACTGTCTTCGTCGCGCTGTCCCTCTCGCACCTCAACGGAACGCCCCATGAGTACGAGAGAGAGTGCAGTCCTGGAAATGAGCGGCCGGCCGACTGGACAGGTTCTGCGCCTGCGTCCAGCCGTCCAGGCAGTGGGACAGGGGCACGCCGTTGGCCGTTTTGCGTGGAAGGAGACCAAGGAGCTCCACCTGCCTGCGTCCCGGCGTCCCGGCGTCCCGGCCGAGACCTGGCACACACGCACACACACACGCACTCACGGCAAAGCGCGTACAGTCCTCATTGGTTCATCTCGTCGCCTCAATCCTCGCGCCACTTGACTCGGACAGGAAGCTAAATCCGGCGCGGCCCGCTCCACGCAAATCACCGCGGCGCACGGCGAAGCACCACGTCCTCGTCGTGCACGGCGTCATCGAGATATCGCGGCGACGCGTGGCAGTACTGTACAGTGCAGGCCGCGGCAGGCCGGTGAATGGGCAGAGCAGAGCGGACAGCGCTCTGCCGGCAGCCTCACGATGGACACGTCTCGGACAGTGGCGCCGCCAGCCGCCAGTCAAAACCCCGCAAAGCCTGGCAAAGCCCAGCAAGGTGGGCAGGAAGGCGCCGATGGCCAAAACTCTAGACGCGTTTTGAGGTCCAGAGTCACTAAATGGCACTCGAACCGAGCGTGTGACCCCACCAATGGATTGCTCTCCGGACGAGGAATCCATTGGTGGGGTCACACGTTCGGTTCGAGCAATCCCATTTTGACCGCCTCCACCGTTCTTCTGGCCCACTGTGCGGGGGCCCTGACGTAACCGGTATCGGCGAGTACGCGCTGCTTTACTTTGATCGCGGTCATCGCCGCGATGCCCCCACGGGAGGGCGCGACCCCGCACGCCGACAGCGACACGACACGCCGCGACGCGGACTCGCGCGGTCCGCATATCTCCCTCCCCGCCAGGTGAGGCTGGCCGACGGCGGGATGGTCGTCTGCCAAGGATAACTGCCGTTACCCGTTCGGTGCTCGGCAGGTCGTGGACGTCGTGGCCGGCGACGGCAGGAAGCGCGGCGTGCGTCCAGACAGTGCTTGTCTTGCTATTTGCACTTTGGCGCCTCCACGGCCCTCGGCCGCGCGGAGCGGAACGGTATGCCGGCGCGGCCGCCAGGCTGGCTTCCGGTTCCTGCGCGTGGCCCTGGCCCTGGCCGTCCCCGAGCAGGCCCTGGCCCTGCCAAGGCCCAGGCCCTGGTCTGGCTGGCGCCGTGCCGACACTGGCGGCACTTGTCTGACGTTCACCTCTGTGCGGGCCGCGAGTGCCCCCCCGCAATTGGCGCCTTATCAACATGTCCGTCCACAGTGCCGGTCCGCCTCGGAGAACACCTTCCCGACGGCCGAGGAAGGCCCCGGCCGCCCCGGCCGCCCCGGCCGCATGTGCCGTACGGCGACACCGCCTCAAACCTCGGCGCTGCGCTTCGGCCCTGGTGCAACACTTCAAAAATAATACCGGGCCGAGAGCGATTACCGCCGGGGACAGAATAAGACCGCGTCGGGACATCGGCTTCCTCGCCCCGCCCCGCCCCGCCCTCACTGATACCGCTGTGACACTTCGGCCGGGCGGCCGGCCGCTTCCCGTGGAACTTTCCTTTTCGTGTGCTTTCCTTTCCCCGATCCGAGTCCGAGCCTCCGCGTCTCCGCGCCCTTCTGCCTTCTGGCTCCTTCCTCCGAGCCGCCGACTCGCCGACGACCGCGGCGATGACATGACAGCGACCCCGTTGTCATTTACCGAGACGCCGTCGCCGAACCACGAGACGATGACTGTCAACACGCCGCGGTACTTTGTCATGCGCGGTGAACGGTGTGTGAGTGTGTGTGCGCAGGCAGCGGCAGACGGCGTCTTGCACCTCAAGCCGAGCAAGCCGGCGGCAAACAGACGACACTCATGCCTATGCAAGTTTTTCTAGCCCTTCAACTCGTCGCGCCCCAAGCCCCGCACCCCGATGTCTGGCCTGGCGTGCACTGCACACTGATTCCGAGAGCCGCTTTCGTCGCTCTGTCTCTCTCGCACGCATGCGGCGTCCCGTATAGGAGCGAGAGAGACAGAGCGACGAAAGCGACTCTCGGAATCAGTCCGCTGAGATGAGGAGATGGCCGTACTATCGCGAAAGCTAATTAACGATAGTGGCATTGTAGCTTGACCGCGCAACCCCGAAAAACAGAAAACAAGCAGCGGCAGCAGCTCATTATTAAAGATAAACAGTGCCGCGCCGCGGTATCGGTGAAATTCATCGTCGCGTGCTTCGCGTGCGGGGCGCCGAGCAGAGCGTTGTCTGCTACGTCACGCGCCTTTCAAGTGCACGCCGGTCAGCGCGGAGGGGAAGGGAGGCAATGAGTTGCAGACTGATTCCGAGTGGTGGGCCTCTCCCTCGCACTCGTCGGGCGCTCCGTGAGGGTGCGAGAGAGACAGACCGACGAAAGCACTATGTTTGGGAATGACTCGGCTGGCTCGGCCCCTCCGGGTTCAAACGGCGTCGTCCGCCGTCATGCTCGCTGGACTGGCGGAGGAGGTCCTGCTGTAGATAGGCGCACCTCCCCGCGATCCCGGAGTCGGTCTGCCGGTCTCGTTTCCGGGTGCCTGGCCGGAAGCCGCGGGGTGGGGCGGGCAGGGCGATAGGGAGGGCGTCGTCGACCCCCTGGAGGCCACGACGCGGGTCATGCCCACCGCGCCGACGGCGGCGACCGCGGCGACCGCGGCGGCTCGCTGACCCACTTGGCTTAGGCCCTTGTGGATGGACAAGTGACAATGCCCAGCCATGTGCTGGGGAAAGGGAGGGGGCAATCACGCCTTCCTCTGGTGGGACCGCGACGGGCCGCGGTGGCCGCGGTGGGGGCAGGGGGTGGGGGTGGGCCGCGACTGCCGCGACGCGGGGGTCCATGCCGGCGCGGCTAGCGCGGCTCGCCACGGCCCGGCCGGGACCGCGAAATGTACTACAAGCATGTGCGATTGTTATGACGAGTCAGTCTTGGCCGTGTCGCCGTCGCAGTCACTTGGCTCTGCTCCGACCCAGTGCTCAGTGCTCCGCCCCGACCCACACCAGCCACCAGTCGCGCCCGGGCCGCATCGGGACGAAGACGCTACACTAGCAGACGACAGCCGCAGCCGAGCCGCCCAGCAGACGCTGTAGTTTGTCCTTTGGCGCCGTCCACACCACTGCCAACATGCTGAAATGTGAGTAGAGCAGATCCAGTGTCTCGCCTCGGGCCTCGTAGGGCCCTGGTGGAAAGGGTTCCGACGGTGCTCCACCCTCCACCCGCCCCGGCCACGCCGGCCACTGGGCAGGGAAGTCCCTCGGGCACCTAGAGGCGCTCGACGCGCTCGACGCCCGACTCCGTCGTCGGCCTGTTCCTGAACAGTTGCCTTGGCTTTGGTTGTGCAGCCGAGTCCGTCGCCACCGAGAAGATCGCCAAGACCCCCACGGCCATCTCCGACGCCGAGTGGGAGGACCGCCTGTCCGAGGACGTGTTCGCCGTCTGCCGCCGGAAAGCCACGGAAATCGTAAGCGCGTTCAGCTTTCAGTTTCACTCCTCTTCGCTGAGGCTCTCTGCAGTGGCTAACCTTGAGCTTCTCGTGTCTTCGTCCTCAGCCCTTCAGTGGCCGCTATCTGTCGCACTTCGAGAGGGGGACCTACACCTGCACGTGCTGCAACGCCGACCTGTTCAGGTAAGCCGGCCGCCATGCCCTTCCCTGCTCGGTACTTCTGTCTCGCACTGCCTGATGGGGCGCCTCCCTGCCTGTCCCCGCAGGTCGGACGCCAAGTACCTCTCGGGCTGCGGCTGGCCGTCCTTCAGCTCCTGCGTGGAGGGCAGCATCAAGGAGCTCCCCGACCTGTCGCGGCCCGGCAGGCCGCGCACCGAAGTCCTCTGCATCAAGGTAGATGGCAATCCTGCCACTCGTTCTCTTTGTCTTTGCCTGACGCCCCAGGAGTTCACGTTCTGTCTCTGTCACTCCCTCAGTGCGACTCCCACCTCGGCCACGTGTTCCCAGACGGCCCCGCGCCGACGGGCCTGCGCTACTGCATCAACTCCGTGTCGCTCAACTTCCAGTCGGAGGAGTGCTGAGCATGCTGGGCCCCGGGACCCGCCTCACTACAAGACCTCGACTATAGTGCTGGTGTAGGGTTCGCACGTCGAAAAACTAAAGTCAGACTTGAAAGTGGCGCTTGGAGCGCAGAACTTCTGCTGCGTTGCCCGGAACCGGAACCGGAGCTGTCTGTAGGAGGCATCGAAAGTGTCGTCATTGTGTTCGTGGAGCATCGTCATCGCCGGAATAAAGTCGCACATCTTCATTTCACTCGCAGTGTCAGTGTCACGCCCAGTCTCACCTCACCCCCGATATATTATGTACTGTGTTATCTTGCATTAAAATAGTATTTATTTTCGGAAATTTTGTCATTGTTCTTGAGTGGAGTGGTGGATCTGCGGCACGGGTTCAGTTCCCGTTGGCGGGCTAAATTATATAAGCCCGTCATCTCGGCAGATGTTTCCTTTTCCCCTGCACATACTTCCAGACTTAATTCACCGCTACACTTATTCACAAAAAAAAACCTTTTAAAAAAATTGCCCTTTTGGACCTGGCAACACAAAACATCACCCCGTATAGAAATTTTCTGCCCAAACAAAACTGAAAGAAGAAATAAAAGCGACGGCCCTCGACCCCAAACACACAAAACCAAAAGACTTATCACTAGTAATCTCACCCTTTTAATCTTGCCTTATCACCAGAAAAGTAAAGAAACAGACTTTTTCTGGAAAGAAGAGAAGGAAAGATATCCTCACGACGAATAAAAAAAGATGATTCTCCCCGAAAACATTCCATAATTCACAAAAAGAAGAAATAAAGTCGAATGACCGTATACACAACGGTACCTGAGTCCAGCACGAGTCTCCCGAATAAAGAAACCGGACCTATCCCATAAACAAATATCCAAAAGTGGAATGCATCCCTCACTTTCACTCTGTCACTCTGACTTCCGGGCGTCCCCCTCTCCCTCTCTCTCTTGGCTTATCAAGCATCTCGCCGTGGTCAAGGTGGCCGCCACGCCGCCACGCCGCTCAGCGCCACCCAGGTGCGGCCTTGACCCCCGCAAGGACCCCTCTCTGACAAGAAATAAAGATAAAATGCAACTCCCCCCCCCCTCTTTTCCCCGGGCCCAACACTCTCTTGCCTTATCTTTACACGCCTTTCCCCCACTTCCACTCGGGATCGCCGACCCTCTCTTCAGTTGTTTATGTTAATTTTCTCAAAAATTACCAAATTTTCTGAGTTGAACACCTTCATTTAAAGCTCAGATTATTTTTTATTCATAACTCCCCATCAATGCAGCCCTTCTGTTTAACGGGTTGGCACAATTCTCAGGCCCGCCGTCCAACATTCACTAGTAAATTCATTTTTTTATTTTTCTTGGTGTACGGGACCTCTTTAGGTTTGCCTGTGTTTCTGCTTTGCAAGCCAAAAATTGCTTCTTTTCTTTTTTGAGCTAAGGTAATGTATGGTAGCATGAGAGAAGGTATGATGGTAGCCTATAATAACCTTCACTCAGGCTGTGAAATAAACTGCAAGCTTCTTCAGATGGAAGGAAAATAAATCGTGAGGAATTTGGGAAATAAAAATAATACAGATTTGTAACGGACACATGGATTTATATTTTCAACAAAAATAACATTTTGTTTCGTTTTTTGTTTTCACCTGTGTACACTGAAGGAGACTACAACATTTCTCATATTCTAGTTATGTTTTGGTGAAGGAGAAAAAGAGGACGGTGAAGAGAAGTTTGTAGTCCAGAAGAGGAGACAAGGGAGGACACAGCAACACCCCAGGCAACAATCAAAGAAAAATATATATAAACCCCAACAATTTTAGACAATACCCTTAATAAAAGCCCTCATTTAAAAACATGCACAGAAGTTATTGTCAACCGAGGTGGCACTGTGTCATTAATACAGGGGGACTGGGTGGGAGTTGATGAGCAGTGCAAGTCTGTCCAGCAGAGATGAAACCCACTCCCCAATTAGCATACTAGAACTGAGTGATGGAAGTACGCCTAAACGATCTAAGGTGGAGTACCAACCCTTACACCTGGTTCATCGTTCTGCCCGTTTATTTGTCCGACACTCTCTTCCCCCTCAAGTATGACTATAAAAAGGACAGAAGAGAACACAAATCACATTGTTTCAAGCAGAAGCTTACCCTAACCTGTCCATATGAACGTCTTTCACTAATAAGATATCACCACTGGTTTTAAGAAAAAAAAAGGAAAAAAAAACAAATTGTTATACTAATATACAATAAAATCAACAAATTACAGTAATGCAAAAATCATGTTTGCCCTTCACTTGCAGAACTCTCAGGGGAAAGAGGGACGAACATACAAACGATCAGGACTCTTCAATTTGTACACATTGTACATGGCTGCTATCACAGCTAATCCCTCTTTGTTCTTAAGTTCATTCGTAGAAAAAAAATATCAGATGCATAGCAAATATTTACACAATTAATATAATAAATTGAACATGCCTAGCTAGCAGCAGGAGTGTAGGATTATGTACAAGATTGAGGCAGTCAATCACACTACACATCTATTTTACACAAAGACCTTTCTGACAGTATGAAAAGCTTACCCAGCCACATACTTATACATATTAGTGCTTATATAGTATGTCAACATTTATCACGTGAGTCCAGAAAGACTCTTATCAACATAACATAAAAAAAATATTTATAAAAAGTTACACAAGTCACTCAGGAGGGGTAGGGAGAACGCCTGTTACCGTCCTCGTAAAATTCAATACATAACAAAGAGAGTTACTAAGACAATTTAAAACACTAACAGGAAATAAAAAATATCCCATATAAAAGCTTACATAGCCCTGTAGTTGAGAGGTGAATTGAGAAGTCAGGTGGAATGGTAAGAAAAGTGCTGCACACTTGTTTGTCTTGCACCACAGGATGACAAGAATAATCTCAAAGAGAAATGTATCTCTATTTACAGTTGATTTTAAATCATCAACAACTAGAACCAAGGCATATACAATAAGGCCCGTTTCTGAACACAGTCTCATCAACTGACTTAAGTTCCTTCCGCAGTGCAAGCTGCATGCCAGTTCCCATCTCCACCACATCTCTGTCCCAAACTTTAACATAGTCACCTCAATGAGACTAATTGATAAACATGGCAACTAACATGATTGCTCTGATCGACCGAAAAGAAAATACGAAATCAACAAAACGGCAACCAAGGACACGAAATTACATACAAACGAAACCGCCAGAGCTCCAAAGTAAAAACCTACACAAACATTACGTCTGGAATAAGCAGTACATCCACAAGTGGTACTTAACGTGTTACAAATTGAGCAGGAGAAACCGATTCTTGAATCTAGTCTTCATCGGAGAGCGCCTCATACTGAGACGACAGGAGCGGCTTGGGCTCGGCGACCGGGGCGACCGGCTCCTTGGACAGTGTGGGCGGCAGCATGGCAGGGGGCTTGGGGGCCGCACCCGCAGCGCCCGTCTGGGGGGCGACGGCGGCCTGGGGCACGCTGAGCGCCGAGAAGGGGTAGGTGTACGTGGTGGTCTGCACGTAGGGGGCGGAGTGAGGCTGTGTGGTGGTGGCGGGCGCCGTCCCTGGCCGAGGGGGCTTCTCCCCGTCGTCCTTCTTGTCCTCGCTGGGCGCGGCGTTAGGGCTGCCCCGGGGACTGCCGCTGACGCTTCGGCCCTCAGTCTTGGAGGAGGCAGCGGTGGAGGCTGGCTGTTCGCCGTCCTCCTTGCGGCTGTCAGTCACCTTGTCATCGTCCGTGGTGCGCATCACCTCCACGATGCGATTCTTGACGTACTCCAGGGGGGACAAGTGTCCCCGCCCCTCGGCGAAGTGCCTCCGCTGCTGCAGGAAGGCCATGGGGTCCGCGGCCACGGCACTGGCCGCCACGCTGGTCACGGCGGAGGACGCGGTGGTGGGCGAGGTGTGGCTGCTGCTGGTGGCCAACCAGTGCGCCGTGGTGGCGGGTGGGGTGGGTGCGGACGACTCGGGCGGCGACACAGGCTCCACTTGCTGGCCCGGCTTGCGGGGACTAGATGACATCTGCGCGATCCTGATGATAGAGCGCTCGTCGCCCGCCGCCTGTCCGCTGGCCGCGCCCTGGCTCTGAGTCGTGGGCGGCTGCGGTGTGCTGCGGCCCTTGTCCCTGGCCGCGCTGGCGGCCTCATGCTCGTCCCTCCGCCGCTGCTTCCAGAGCACCCCGGCCTGCTCCTCCACCGACTGGGCGCCCGGCGCTACCGCCGCGTTGGACGACGGCACGCCGAACGTGGGCGGGTAGGCCATCGTTCGCGGGTAGCCGCCAATGCCGCTGGGCGCGCTGGGCGCGTTCAGGTCTTTGGTGATGAGGGAGTCGATGTGGTCGCTCAGGGTCTTCTTCGGGGGCGCGGCGGGCGGGGGTGCGGCCGTGCTGTTGCTGGGCGCGCTGCTGGCAGATTCCGTCCCCGGCTCGGCCGTCGCGGAACCCTTCAATGGGGATGATTTGATGGAAGCCTCGTTCAACTGAGGACTACTTGAATGGAAGCCCTGATGAAGAAAATCACACGTCAGTCAAGCACACAACATCACCAACAACATACCAACCACGTGACCGCTCAACTCACCGAGAATAATCTGTCACCGAGCCGCGACGTCAGAGGTCCCGGATGGTTGGTGTTGCTGCTGGGCACGCCCTCGTTGATGGTGTGCGTGATGATGGCGTCGATCACGCTGGCGGCCGTCAACGTCGAGTCGCCGGACGTCGAGCTGGGCCTGCCGGGGCCGGAGGCCGCCACGCCCGGCGTGGCCGGCGCGGCACTGCTGGCGCCGCCGCTGAGACCCGGCTGAGGCACGGAGCTGGGCCGGTTCACTACGCTGGGTTCCCTGCGAAGCGACACACTGTTAGCATTGCTGGACCCAACGGCAAGGCACTGCTCGACGAGCCAAGAGCCAAGTCTCACCTCTGAGCGGGGCTGGGTGCCTGCGACACCTGCGCGGCCTGCGAGCTGGGCGGGTGCTGGCCGTGCGGCGGCCCGGGGGGATGTTGGGGCGACGGCGACGGTGTGTGCCGCGGGTTGTGGCTCGCGTGGCTCGGGTGGCTGGCCGCTATCAGGCGGTGCTGGTCAGCCAGTCGCGCCTGCAACACCAACAACAGTCAATCAATACCGCCCAACGACTCGAGGCGATGACGAGGAAGAACGTCGCCGACACATACCTGGTTCAAAGTGTGGTGAGAGATGGGCGACGGGTGCTGACGCTGTTGTTGCTGTTGCTGATGGTGGTGGTGGTTTTGCTGCTGCTGTTGCTGCTGTTCATGCAGCCTTCTTTGCTGCTGCACCTGTATCATGAGAGACTCTCGATGGCGCTGAATCTCAGCCAGCCTGGAACAAGAAGGACGCCGTCAGAGTCCGCCACAGCACAATCAAGAGCACGAGTTGAGTCTAGAGGAGAACAAGAGCAGGGTGGCTCACCTGGTGAGCTCGGCGGGGTCGGTGCCGGGCGGGGTGCGCTGGTCGCGTTCCCGGTCACGCAGCGAGTCCACCATGGTCTTGCCGAGGCCCTCGTGGTGGCGGTCCTGGTGCCGGTCGGGCAGCCTGTCGTTGCGCTTGTCGGCGTGGTGCTGCAACACCGGCTGCGGCACGGGCAGGCTGGGCTGCTGCACGGCCAGGTCCACGAGCGACGAGAACGCCTCGTGGCCCGGCGGCGGGTGGCTGAAGTGCAGCGGCCGTTGGTGCTGCGGCGGCGGTGCCGGCTGCGGAGGCGGCGGCTGGGGCTGCGGCGTCGTGTTGTGCCTCTGGATGATGCTCTGCCGCGCTTGCGGGGGTGGAGTCCGCTGAGGCATGGGCGACGGCTGCGTCGTGAACTTCTGGATGTACACCGTCGTGCCCGCCGTGTGCGCTGGCGTGTGCGGCAAGGCCTTGGACACGGGCTGCGGCGAGGACTGCGGCGTTGGAGGCTGCGACGGCGGCGCCCCGGGCCCTGGCGACGCCCGCGGCGAGAGTCCGGACGCCCCGACGGGCGCGGGCGGGTAGTAAAGCGGCGACCCCTTGTCATTGGGCCGGCGCACGCCCGGGTGCATCTGCTGCGACGTGTAGTAGTCCGCCATGATGATCTGCCGCGAGTTGAGCTGCTGCTCCACAGTGTAGGACGGCGCGGCGCGCGGACCCGTGTGCGGGTAGGGCGAGGTGAAGCCGCCCGACGACACGGACGACGTCGACGTGGTGGTTACAGGGCTGGGGGCGGTTGGATGCGTGGGAGGCAGACCCACCGGGTGGCTGGGAGGGTGGACGCCGGCCTGGTACACCACACCGCTCGGCGACTGCCGCTTGAAGTCGTAGTACATGGAGGTGGCGGGCAGGCGGGTGGGCAGGTGCACGGGCGTGCCCTGGGTGATGGAGCCGCCGCCGCCCTCCTTCCCGACGGGCTGGTGGGGCTGGTGCGGCACATGGGGCTGGTGGGGGTGGTGGCCGCGCAGCATGCCCTCGGAGTAGCGCTGCGGCGACGACACGGGCGTGCCGTGCGTGATGGAGCCGGCCTTGGGCGGCGCGTGGCTCACGTGCGTCACCAACTTGGGGGACAGCTTGGTCTGCACGGGCACGGGGTGGGTTGGCGGCACCACCTTCAGGGGCTGCTTCAGGTGCTGGCTGTGCTGGGCGAGCTGCCCGTGCTGCGGCGTCAGGCTGCGGGGACCCATCACCAGGTGCGGCGTGGCGGGGGCGCCGTGCGCCGTGTGGTGCTGGGCGGCACTCACGCCGTGGTAGAACAGGGTCATGGGGGTGCCCGGCTGCCCCGGCTGCCCGGCGGCGATCTGAGGCGTGGGAGGCTTGGCGTGCGCACCGAGAGGCCCTTGGTGTCCCTGGGGCACGGCGTGCAGCGGGTGCTGCAGGCCGGGCGCCGCGGCGGGCGAGGGGTTGCGGCCCGGGTAGGGCGCGGCGATGCCCAGGGTGGCGGGGCCGGGTCCTGGACCGTCGCGCGGCCTCTTGACGGACAGGTCCTCTGGCGCGTCACTCCGGATGGTAGGCGCCTCCTGGAAAACACCAACAAAGACGTTAGTCCGGTCAGAGCAACGCCGCGCCAGGCGGCAGAACAGAAGGAAAGGAAGTCTTTACATGAGAACGTCACAAGCTCGAGACACTTATAGCGCAGGACAACACTGCACACATCAGAGTACAATTTCGCACACGCATGTTGGATTTGAGCCACCAGGTCCGAAATGAACACGTCACAAAGCCTGCTCCACGACACGGATATGGCCAGGGCCGCGGTCGTCCGCCCGCACCACAGTGCAGGGCGTCGGGTCCGCGCCGAGAGGGCCGGGGTCGCGTACGCTTGGGGCGCTCCGTGTCACCACTACGCCGCTGTGCCCACGCGTCGCAGCTAATCTTTACACTAGTCGAGGGAGCGGGGCCTACCTGCAGCACCACGAGACCCTCCTTGGGGCCACCCAGGGTCGCACCCGCAGCCAGGTCTGGATGGTGTGCGTTGGCGGTGTCCTTGACTTGGGCTTGGTCGGGCCGCTCGGCGTGGTGCGAGTTGGTCACCACGACGGCCGGCTTGTCGGCGGTGGCGGCGGCGGGACGGAAGTCACGCCCGGGCCCCATGAAGCTGGAGTCCGAGTTGAGGATGGAAGAAATGGTGGGCGGGACCGTGTCGCTGACCGCGCTCGGCGGGGCCTTCTTGAGGGAAACCTCGATCACGCTCAGCATCAGGTCCTTGACCGTCGTGACGCGCGGCTCCGTGGGCCCGTTGGCCTGCCCCGGGACAGCCGCGGCGCCGGCCTGAGTCACTGCCGTCGGGCCCTGGCCGCCCTGGCCGCCCTGGCCGGCAGGGTGCGCGGAGCCAGCCGCGGGGTGGCTGCCGGACCCGGGTGCCGGGGCGGGGTGGCTCCCGGCGAGGACTGCCGGCGACGGTTCAGCCCCTCCCTGCCCTTCGTCCGCAGTCTCCTGAGTCAACACACACCACAGCACAACACTGGTCAACTGTGGACTAACACTCGGACTAGCAACTGGCACGCAAGACAGACGCGCTCCCCGCGCGGCCTGGCCAGGCCTGGCGAGGCGAGGCCGCACGGTCGGCGGTCCGCGCGCTGCCCAGACGGCCGTCCTGCAGGCCGCCCCGCCGAGGCGGCCTGGACGGCACGGCTGGGACGGCGCTCAGCGTGCAGCGCGCAGCACAAGGACATCAGAGTTGCAAAGCGAGAGGCGTGAGGAAAGCTCGAGATTCGAGGGTAACGTAAAACGAGTACGCGGGAGCGGATGCGGTGTTAGTGCCGTCAGCCCGCCGGGTCGGTCTTTGTACAGGAAAGCATTCAGGGCGGGGGAGTGGTGGTTACAGCCGTGACAGCCAAGCGACGCCAAGCCGAAGCGAGGCGCAGAACGAGAGGCAGGCACAGGGCAGACACAGGCATAGCAGCGAGGTTGGCAGTCAATGTTAGTGACGTCAGCCACGCGGGCATGCAACAATCCGGTCAACGCGCTTCATCCGTCCATCCATCCATTCGTTAGGGCACGCATTCACTCAACATAGTCACGGCACGATGCTTCACGAGACAAGCCAACAAGCCCCAGCAAAGCCCCTCCCCGCTGCAGGCTGCAGCACAGCGTGAGCACACAGCCCAGGCACTTACCGTTGCCGAGCTGTCATAGTCCTCCTTGTTGGTGGGCCTCAGCTGGTCCGAGGACTCGCTCGTGGTGCGCGTCTGCGAGGAGGTCAACGAGGGCACGCCCGCCGTCAGCGTCGTCGTCGAGGACACCGTCGTGTTGGAGATGGCAGTGGTGACCGGCGTCACGGCGGGGACGGGCGTCAGGGTGCCGTTGGCAGCCGGTGCCGGTGACGGCGAGGGCGTCACTGGAGTGACGGACGACACCGGCGTCACCGAGGAGGCCGACGGCGGCGCCGTGGTCGAGGGTGGAGTGGGCGTCGGCGCCGGGCTGGCCGCCTTGTCCGCGTCAGCCGCGGGGGCGGCGGGAAGGGTGCTGCCTGTTGGGGGCGGCGCGGGGGTGGTGGCAGGGCTGGGTCCGGGCGTCGTCGTCGCCGAGGGGCCCGCCCCCGGGACAGCCGTCCCCGGAGCCGGAGCTCCCGTCGTCGCCGCCGCCGCCTTGGCCGCCGCGTTGGAGGCAGACAGGGCGTTGGCGGCGCTCGCGTTGTCGCTGTCGATGACGATGTTGGTGCTGGGCGGCACCTCGTCGCACGACGACGTGCTCGAGCCGCTCTCCTCCTCGTCCGTGAGCGCAGGCTTCCTCTCCTCGCCGAGATGGTTCTGAAAACAACACGAACATACACGTCACGTAAGAAATAAAACACGGCCAGTTGAGAGTCTGCCATTCAAACCCAGGGTACCTGGGCTTTGAATGGCAGTTCTACAACCACCAGGGTTTTGCGTAAAACACAACAAAGTGAGATCGATTAACACTGTCGAAGAAATCGGAGCCAGCCGGTGTAACTCGCGAAGCCGGACTCCGCTAATCTACACTAACTACTGTACCTCAAAGTCTACAAAAGTCTAGGCTGCTCTAACTACGGATCGCTCACCTCCCTCACCTTGTGGTACTCCTGCACCAACGCGTCCAGCCCGATCTTCTTGCGGTAGTTGAAGTAGTAGTTCTTGCACTGGTGGTGCGTCTTGGTGCCGCCCACGGCCTCCGAGACGCGCTGCCAGTTGGTGCCGTGCTCGCGCAGGGCCTTCTTGAGCAGGTCCGTCTCGTCCTCGGTCCAGCGCAGCGAGTTGCCGGGCCCGGGGCTGGGCGACATGGACGCGTCGCCGCTCGCGCTGTTCTCCTCGGACGGGTTGATGCGGCGCGAGATGCGGTTGAAGCAGGCCGAGCACGCCTTGGACACGCCCACGGGGATCTGGAACTCGGCGATGATGGGCTCCTTCTGCTCGGCCGACAGCTCGGCCCACTTGGCCGGGAAGGGGCGCACCCGCTTGACGCGGCCCTTGGCGTTGGGGCACGACGGCAGCGGGCAGTGCACGTAGCGCGACCGCACCGCCTTGCAACGGCACGGGTTGCACACGCGCGCGCCGGCCACCACCTCGTCCTCGCGGAGCCCGTACTGCGCGGCCTGCGCGCGCGGCAGCAGTCGCGACTGTGTCACGCCGTCCACCTGCTGCTTGCACAGGATGCAGGGCTGCGTGCCCACGGGCTTCTCTGCAACACAAAGACACACTTGGTCAGACGAGACATCCACATCCACGACGGCGGCACGGCGTGCGTCGGGCGCCTCCCCCTGCAGCAGCACGTCGATCCGGGCGCCCCCCGCCCCCGTCAGCGCACCGCGCCACGGCTGCAAGTTACACACAAGTCAAGCAGCACGGCGCGGCGCGGGGCGGGGCAGGGCAGAGCCACAAACGTGTGTAAACTCCAGCAGCGCGGTTCACCATAGGTAACCAACCAACCAACCCTACCAACCCACCCAGTCAAGCCGAACGTGCCGAAATCGACGAGGCGACATGAGGGCCATGCCCTGCCGGGCTTGTGCACAGTGGGCCGGAACACCGGCGCAGGCGGCCTCAACTTTTAGACGCGTTTTGAGCTCCACAGTCGCTATACACCAAACGTATGACCCCACCAATGGATTCCTCGTTCGGAGAGCAATCCATAGGTAGGGTCACACGCTCGGTTCGAGTCCCATTTAGCAACTCTGGAGCTCAAAACGCGTCCCGGATATTGACCACCTACACCGGTCTTCTGGACCACCATGCCATGCCGGACCCCGCGAGTGTCAACGCGTCGCGACGTCACACTGCGATATTTCACTTCAGCCCGCCGCCGCGCTTCGCCATGCTAATGACGCGCTCCACACCCCTCGGCCGTCGGCTGGCCGTCATCCCGGCCGTCCCCACGGCATAACCCAATTCGCCAATCGAGCCGTTCAAACGCCCCCGCCCCATTCGGCCATTCGGCCATCCCACCGGCACCAGCCAGGTGAAAACCTCGCCCCAATTGGCACGGCGCTGCGGCGCGTCATAGGGGACCACTCATGGAAAATGCACCGACACACCGCCACGACCGCTACGCGATGCACGCCAAACTGCCCACCGATTAGCAATGGCGGACCGGCAGACAGACAGGCAGACGGACGGACAGACAGACACGCGCCGTGTCGAGTCTCGTCTGCGCCCCGCCACCAGCCTCCCTAATTTGCCTAATGGAATGATTTGGCACAAAGGGCGAGCAAGTGTGCTCTCCACACACGCACTTGAGTACACACACGCACGTCCACGCACGTCCACGCAGCACGCACGCACCGAGTCCCGCGGGAGCTGCGCAAAGAAAGCCGGCGCCGCGACAGCCACCGCCGCACCCTTTCTACATGAGCGGACTGCAGACCGATTCCGAGAGTCGCTTTCGTCGCTGCGTCTCCCTCGCACGCACGGGGCGTGCCGTGTTGGTGCGAGCAGGGACACGCTCTCGGAATCGGTCTGCGGGAGCGCGGAGCGGGATCCCCGCTGAAAGACCCAAAGGCCGAAAGCAAAGCGGCGGGCGGATCGAGAGACGAGGTCGCCCCCCCGGCCAGCGACTTGCCGCACCACTATTTGCAGTACAGCCGCGCGGCGATTCAAAGAGGCGATTATTTGCACGTCACAAACTAGTGCCCCGCCGCGCCGTCGCCACGGCCCCGTCCGGCAAATGGCCCGGAAGGCCCACGGTGGCGCTTACTAGTGTCCACGCTAAGCCCGGCACGGCACGGCACGGCACGGCGCCGCGGCGGGGCACTAGTTGTGGTGGTCCGAAAACGCGACGCGAACCAACACGGGGCGGCTTGACCGGCTGGATTCATTATGGATGGCCTGCGCACCGCGCTGCCATAGTGGTGGCGAGGCACACACACACACACACACCCACGCTGCGTGTATCATCTATGACCAGCCAAATTAAACACACGGCCGGCCCGCCCGGAGGACAAGGCTGCTTTTCCTCGGACCGACCCAACCAGCTCGCCGGCCAGGGCTAGCCAAGCAGCGGGCTCGCTCCGAAACGGCACTGGCGTCGTCTCTCTCGCACTCACGGTGCGCCCCGCAGGGTCCGCAGGGTCCGCAGGGGTGCGAGAGAGACGGAGCGCGTCCCGGACGCGGCCTGCAGAGGAGGGGCCGTGCGCAAACACAGAGTGCCTCGCACGCACCGCGCTTCGGGCTTTACAGTGTGCTTACAACAAGAAAACAATCCAATTTGGCGCGGCGGCGCGAGGCGCGATGCGCGGCGTATCCTGCCCGGCGCAAAAACGCCAAACGTCCCCCGAACGCCTCAATTATGCATCGGCCAATCACGTAACAGCCTCGTTCGGCGTGCTTGGCGTGCTTCGCGCCTTGTCACCCGCACGTTCATCCCGCCCGCCGCTCCTGGCCCTCCAGGTCCCCCCCCCCCTTTTCCCTTCCGCTTCCGCCGAGTCCATCTTCAAACGAGCCGCAGACCGATTCCGAGACTCGTTTTCGTCGCTCTGTCGCTCTCGCACCTGTGAGGGACACCCCATGAGGGAGAGAGAGAGAGACCGAAGCGACGAAAACGACTCTCAGTCTGCAGGCAGGCCGCGCCGCTGGAGATCACGTCGTCGTCGTCGGCTCCTCTGAGAGCGGCCCGTTTGTTTAGCCATTACAGCCAAAGAGAGGAGGAAAGGGGAGGGGGAGGGTCGCCCCGCGCAACGGCGGGGAAGGAAAGGGCAAAAGCAGCCAGAATCCACCGAGACCCCCGTCTAGTTATCTTGAGGTTTGTTCCGCTGCGCCCCGCACTGCTGCTGCGGTTAGGGCGCCGGCGCTCCCTGCTGGAATGCACAAGTACAGGTAGCGCGACGCCACTGCAGAACGCCCCGCCCCGCCCCGCAAACAGCGGCCAATTAACGCAGATTAGCCAGGCGGCTTGAGCCGCACCGAGTACACATGCTGATTATACGCCCCGTTTCCCACGCCGACTCAGCGCGCGGGGCGGGGCGGGACGGGGCGGAGGCAGCGCGAGGGGGTGGGGCGCGCTCCACCTGCCCCCCGCCCCTTGCCCGGGGAGCGGCAGCGGCGCTTCCGATAATGCCGCCCGAAAACTCGGCAAGTCAAACACAGAGCAGGGGGCTCCGCCAAGTTATTAGCGACGTGTACGCCCCGCCCCGCCCCGCCCAGAGGGCTCCGGTCGGCGGCAGCATGACCCTGCCGCCCTCCTGGCCGAGCAGCCGCCGCGAGCAGCGACACGGGGAGCATCTAGGAGCAGAGGCCGCCGTCAAACCTCGCTCCAACCTACCCTCGGCGATCCCGGGGCCGAGCGTGCCGCCACGGCGCCTCGCGCCACCACCCGCGGGGAGCGGCACGGCGGGCACGGTACGGCACGGCACGGCCAGGCACGGCGCGCACAGCGGCAGGCAATCATAACTGCTGGAGCTGCTCATCCATTCCCTTTGAATTCGCTTCGCGGGCCCTCCACACGCACACACTCACACACACACGCACCCACCCCTCCCCAGGACGGCGCCTGCGAGCTAGGCAACCCAACCGCGGCGCGCGCACCCGTGCCCGCGTGATGCCTACCCGCCGGGCGCTACCCGTCGCCAGACCGCTCCAGCAAGTCTCCCTCTCCACCCTGTTGCTCCCCTTGTTACCCCGCTCTGTCTCACTCGCACCGGTGCGGGCCGCGTCGTCAGAGCGAGAGAGACAGAGAGACTCGGTGCCCGCAATCAGCCTGAAACCGCAGCGCGCTGCGCCGAGGAAGAACAAGAACAGACAGGCCGCGCGCTGTGATGGCTGGCTGGCTGTACCTTTCATTCAAATTACACGTATTCTTAGGCAAACTCGACCAGCGCCGGCCCGGGCGGGTCCGGGCGGGTCCGCGTCCGCGGGGAGAGGCTGCGCTCTTTAATTGACAGGGGCGACTCATCCCAGCTTACCTCTCCCTCTCGCCCACCCCCAGCGCCATGCCCAGCACCATGCCCAGCACCGCCGGCAACAGAACAGGCCAGCGAGCGGCGCACAGGCGAGCGCGCCCCGCCCAGCCACGCCGCGACTTGGAGGCAGCAGCCACTTAAAATGCGGTTTACTTTTCGCTTCATTAAATTAAGTAGCTTGGCTGCGGGGGCCCCGGGGGAGGCAGGGCCGGGGGAGGGGAGGGGACGGGACGGCGCGCCCGGCTCTGTTGACTCACTCCACAAACGCAAAAATCTCGGCAGCGGCCGCCATCTAACATTAATGGACAGCGCGGGGGAAAACGACGATGTCGGCGATGACGGACAACGGAGCGGACGGCGGAATCGGGGCGGAAAGGGAGAGAGAGAGAAAGAGAGAGAAAGAGGGCGGGATCGATTATAAGCGGAGAGAAACAATCGTCAACATAAAGAAATGAAAGGCAAGCGAGCCGAACCGAACAGGGCTGGGCTGGTCCGGGCTGGCCGGCTCCGCGCGCTCTGGAGAAGCAGGCAGCCAACCCAGCGGCCGCAGCAGCGGCGGCAGCGCGTAGGTAAACACAGCGAATAGACGTCCCGCCCGCCCCGCTGCTCCGCCGCGCCGCCACCCCTCAGCCCCAACCCACCCCGAGCAGGCCGTCCTGGTGGAGGCGACCGCTGGCGCCGCGCAGTCTGCACCGAATCGCGGACGCGGCCATACACGCCATGTACCCGCTGTACCGGTCGTGGCTGACGCGGGCCGAGCCCCCGCCGCCCTCGCCGCTCGCCCTGGGCCACGCCATGCCCCTGGCGCCCCTGGCCGTGGACCCGCTTCGTGACCCCCTGCGCAACCCGCTGTCGCTGCCCGACGTGGTGGTGGCCGTGGGCGAGAGCCACGGCGTGGCGGGGCCGTCGCACCAGTTCGCCGCGCACCGCGCCGTGCTGGCCAGCAACAGCGGCTACTTCAAGGCAGCCCTGGGCCAGGACAGCGCCGCCGTCGGCACGCCCACCTGCGTGGCCGTCAGCGGCGTCACGGCCGAGGCCTTCGCGCCGCTGCTGGGCTACATGTACACGGGCTACCTCGACATCGGCAGCGACAACATCTACCCCGTGTTGCTGGCCACGCACTACCTGCACATGCCGCGGGCCCTTGAGCTGTGCTGGAATTTTCTTCGCGCCCACCCGCCCGCCGGCACCCTGGACGCCGCGGGGGCCCTGGACGCCGCCAACGCTGTGGACAGCAGTCCGACGCGCACGACACTCGTCAAGCCCATCCCGGGGCTGCCCTGGAGGCACGTCGCGGCCCGCGGACCGCTGCAGCCGCCCGCGTCGCACATGGTGCTGCCCACGGCAGAGCACAGCCCCTTCAGGGCACCGTTCCCCGGAGTGGCGGCCGCGCCGGCCAGCGAGGCCAGCACGCCGACGTCCACCGCCACCAGCACGCGCGCATACAGCCCCGTCGCCGTCCACCGCGCGCCCACCCCACAGAGCGCCCGGCAGAGCGGCGCCCACGCCAGCGAGGACCGGGAGCACACGTCGTCGAAGGTAAGGCACAACGCACGGCATGCTGCTCCGCTTGACTGGGCCACTGTGAAGCAGAGCAGGCACGTTTACAGCCGAGCGATTCCTTCCTCCAGTCCACCGCCGGTCGGAGCGGACGTCCGTCGCCGTCCCCGCGGTCCCCGGAGCCCGCCGGGCGCACCGCCACGCCGACCGCAGCGCAGTCGAAGCAAGCCACGCCAACGACCACTCACGCCTCCACCACGGCCTCAACGTCCACCAACGTGACCGTCTCCACGGGCAAAGTGGTGTTCGACGTGGCCTGCTGCGACGGCCCCGTGCAGTTCCACCGTGTGCTCAACGCCAGCTACGGCCGCGTGGACGGCCAGGCCCTCGTCGACCAGCACCACGACGACGCCACGGCCGCCGACGAGAACCGCATGCTGCCAGGTAAGGCACCGCCACACCGGCTGCAGTCCCTTCGCCGCCATTCGGTCGAGTCTGATTGGCCGCTTTGCTGTCGCCAGGTGCAGCCCAGCTCCGGCGGGCCCGGGTGGGCAGGCAGGCCGAGGGCGCCAGCGCGCCGACGGGCGGGGCGGCCGCGGCGAACACGTGCCACTACTGTAACCAGACTTTCAAGAGCCACTACTGCTACCAGAAGCACGCGCGCCGGCACCTCAACCCGCTCACGCCCAAGCTGGGCGTCCCCGTGGCCCTGCCGGCCGGCGAGGAGGCGGGCGGCCTGGCGTCCTCCGGGTCGCCCTCGCCGTCCGGGACCGCGCCGACCACGCGGACGCCGGCGCGGCCCCTGGACATGAACGTGCAGTACTACCCCTGCAAGACGTGCGGCTCCAAGTTCCCCAGCTACTACTTCGTGCACAAGCACCGCAAGCTGTGCCACTCCGGCGAGGAGGCGGAGGGCGAGCCCAAGCCCGGCCAGCCCGGCCAGGCCGCCGACGAGTAGCGCGGGGTATCGCCGCATCGACGCCCCGCCGCCCCGACCGCCACGGAGAGACCCCGCGACGCCCACTGGAGCGCGGGGTAATCGTGCCTCCCGACTTCGCTCGGCAACAACACCAGAGGCCAAGAATATCAGTAACTCATATCTGTCGTTTGTAGTGTCAAGCAATAAAATGCCAAATTTGTAAATATGTCAATAAAAAAGTTAAAACGGACATTTCGAGTTCAGTTCAGACTCCTTAACCCATGACAATAACAGGGTAGGCTTGACCAGGAATGATCGCAGATTAACAGAAGGTTCCTGCACTATGGGAGCTCTGAACAAGTTCAATAAGAATGCAAGACAAAGAGCATAAGCCCCTAGGGCCCACCAAGGAACTTCGAAAACTACCGTCCAAGAGGGGAAACTAATATTATTCCCATAAACCAGTAACAAGACTTTCAGTGCCTAATCAACCAAACTATGTCTGGTAAAGTATGGCAGCAGAATAGACCTTACCTTGTTCACTGATGTCATCATCACTTGACTCCATTTGCTCACTCTCCTTCTTCTTTTTCTCTTCTTTTCTTCTCTCCTTTTTCTTGTTTTCTAATTTGGACTCCCTGCAAAGAGAGAGAGAGAGAGAGACAAAATTGAGTATGCATACCTTCTGGAAAGAGAGAGGGAAGGACAAAAAGCAATCATGGAAAGGCTTCCAGGAAAGCACTTGAAACAGCAAATGTCTTTAATGTACTGGGTACATAAAGGATGGAAGTCATCACAGAAATGGGCAGGAGGACCAGATAGAGTAAACACACGAACCCACTCCACAAAACAAAGAAACATGCCATCTTGGTAATAAAACATTACTTTCATCAACCAATCAATATCTGGGTCTCAGTTCCTGCTCACCCCCTCCCCACTTCCTCCCACCCCCAGTCCCCATTCTCTCTGTTTGATTATGCAATTTAAAAGGCCAATGGGGTCGAGGTATTAGCAGTGAAAGTATCAAGGACTGCTAAAGGAGCTTGTCAATTATTTTTTGGCATCAAAAGGAGGGAACGGCAACTTAAATTACAGTAAAAATGATGCACTTTTTTTTTTGGCACTTACCCTTTCTTTACATCTTGAGATGCTGTGTCATTTTGAAGATGAGATCCTATAAAATTAGAATTCCCACCTCCACAGTTTGTAATAGAATTACTATTATTCAAGGTATTTGGAGAATTAGATGCTGGTGGTTTAGGAGAATCTGTTGTCTGTCGTTCAGGTTCACGATTTCTAGGCTCTTCTCTTTTCTGCTGAAGCTGCTCTCGCTGCAAGCGAGTAGTAACACCAGTGCTACTTAAAATATCTACAAGGCCTGCATTATTGGCCAAATTGTTAGGTTTCCCAGGATTATTTCTACTTGATCTAGTCCTTTGCCTTGATTTACCTGAAAGAAAGGATTAAACACATTAGAATACAAAACAATTGTTTGTACAACAAATAAATTCGAGAAAAAGTAAGTACTATCAACACATTTTTTAAAATAAAAAGCACACTTACGTAGTAGCTGCTTATAATTCTCAGACTTCTTACTAAGATAATAATATTGCACACAATCAGATACAGTTTTTCTATCCAGATAGGAGGCTATTAATCCAAAGTTTTTGGGATGTTGCAAGTATTTCTCTCTAAATATTTCTTTTTCATTAGTTGTCCAAACATTTAGTAATTGTCTTTCTTTATATTCTGTACTATAATCATCTATAAGACCATTATTGTTTTGAAATGACAAGCGTTTCTGAGACGCATTGAGAAGAATTGGCGGAACAACAGCCATAGATCTCATTTTCTTGTCCTCCATCTGTGAATATTAAAAACAAAAGGATTAGAATAAGAAGATGGCAAACAAGAACAGTAAATCAGATGGAAAGAGAGTCTCATGGAAAGGATGCAACTATTTAAGTGCCACTTACTTCTTGCTCTTGAAGGCCATCCATGATTTCCTCCATGTCAGCCTCACTCTTGATGCGAGCACCAACACGGTTGAATCTTTCTTTGTCCTCCCTAGCCTTTCGTAGCTCAGTGAATACTTTTTCAAAGAATTCACGGTTTTTAGCTTCCTTAGCCTTCCGTTTTTGTGAAGATTCCATTCTTTCAACCTTTCTCACCCACTCTTGCATAAGTCTGGAGTAGGTGGTGGCCAAATATTTATCACGTTCTTCATTTTCAACATGCTTCTTCTTCAGATGTTCCATTAAAGTCTCTTTGAAAGTCAGGTACTTGCGCTTATTTTCATGATACACTGCCGTGTCAGATGGTTGATTGTAGAGGGGCTGCAAGAAACAAAACTTATCATCAGTCAATGTCACTACACAATAAGCCACATACTAATTCTCAGAATTAAAAAAAAAAAAAAAAAAACTTACATAATGAATTTCAGGCCCAAGCTTTGCAAGTGCATCGTGTGCTGCATAGGCTAAATGTCTGTTATAAGCATAAATTTTTTGAGCAGGACTTTGATGCTTGGGCGGTGAGATTTCCTCATCGGGTTCCTCCTTCTTGATGCGGTGTCTGGTGCGAAGCTTGTATGCATTCAAAACCAGGTCCTGCTCCTTGATTTTCAACGATCTATGCTCTTTCTCCCCTTTGGCTATTTCAAGATCCATTTTATGAATTTGATTAAGGAGGTCATCCTTGGCAATACGAAACGCCTCGTCTTGATTTGTTTCGTTGGGCAAGGTTGGGGAGATGGCTTCGACCTGGGGCGTATAAGCTGGCTGTTCCTGTAACAAACCCAAATTACTATCATTGCAAAACACTGCACCAGACAGAATCATCATACGGCTCTCTGCAGCTGGGGCTCAGGCCTTACCCTAGTGTCCACTCTCAGAGGCTGCATCTCTTGCTTGGCGTCCCCCAGCCGGATCTTCTTCAAGGGCGGTCCAGCGTCCAGGGGAGGGGGGTTGGAGGGCGCCGGCGCCGGGGGATGGACTGACACTGGAGTCGAAGCCGAGCTCACCACGGGGTTCCGGCCGTAGGGGAACAGCAGCATGTCTTGGTGCGGGATTTCAGGTCTGCAAAGCGACAAGAACGAGACAAGTTTAGAGAAACCTCCAACATGTGCTAGGTGCGGGCAAGGGGCCAGACCGGGCCACCCGGACGGAAGGCTCTACTCACGGGTTGACCATCTCCAGCTGGACGTGGACGTCCTTGGGGGCGGCCACGCTCACGATGGACGTCGTCGCCACGGATATCCTCTGCGGCCTCATGGGCAGGACGACGGTGCCCTCCCTGGGGAGCGACACGACGGGCTGCTGGCCGGGTGGCTGGATCTGCACCATCCTCGGCAAGTCCGAGGCGACCGTCCGGTTGGCCGGCCGGTCCAAGGGCCGGTTGGGGTCCGGGTGGGTCTGCAGCAGGGGCTCGAGCGTGTGCCCCACGGGCTGGAGGGCAAAAAGAAGCACAAACGGGTCAAGCAAAATTCATGAGCCCTGCAGTGGATGTACTGGACGGCGCAGGCGGCGCTCACACTCCACTCACCACGACTCCCGGTCGGTACGACGACTCCCTGGCGACGTACACCATCTGCGGCGAGTACGACAACCCCGTGGCGGGGGAGGGTCCAGGGCCGCCAGGGCCGCCAGGGCCGGGCCCGGGGCCATCGCGCGCGGGCAGGCCTGGCAGGCCGGGCAGCCCGGGCAGGCCTCGGTGGTAGCTGTTGGGCTGCGGGGCGTTGACGCGCACCTGGTAGACGCCCGGACCTCCGGGGCCACCGGGCCCGCCGGCCGCGCCCCCAGACGTGCTGACGGGGGTGGCCGCAGGCTGCACGGACTGCACAGACGTGGGCACGGCGGGGGAGGTGGTGTGAGAAGCGGCCTGGGGGGCAGAGACGACCACGGGGCGCTGGGCGGCTTTGAACGACAAGCCCTCAGCTGGCTGCGACGGCCTGAAACAACAAAAACAAAATCACGTCAGTCTGTGTGGACCGTCTTCGGGAAATGCATACAGGTCAGGCACCATCGACCATGGCATTAGTATCAGCCATTTGCCACGCGGCCGGCGCCACCACTACCCTCCCTTCCCACTTCCCAGGCCCTGGAGGGGCCCTGGAGGTCACACTCCAGGCCGCCCCCTGAAATCTAGAGGCACGCCAGGGGCACGTGTAGAGTGTTACTCTCCATGACAGCCGGCCTTGCCGCCGTGCCTCGCTAAGCCGGAGTGCAAAGCAGTGTCGCCAGCGCGGCCGCGGACTGCCGGGCCGGGACTGCCGGGGGCTTCATCTGTATTATAGATTGACGGCGCGGCGCCCGGCCTCAGCCTCGCTTCAGCCTTCAGCCCAAGCAGGCTGTCAGCCTCCGCGAGCTGGCGGCCCGTCCTCCGGCCTCCAGTCTGCGGATTGGGTAACGCCTACCCCACAGCCACGGCGGCGCACGGCGGCCACAGCCCAGGGATCAGCTGCGACAGCCCCGCCCGGAGGTCCGGAGATGTGCCCTCAAGACAACGCCAGACGGATGCCCCGCCGTGCCGTGCCGTGCCGTGCCGGGCCGTGCCGTGCCGTGCCCCACCCCCTGACCTGCGCTTCGCCGCTTCGCCGCTTCGCCGGGCGGTCGGGCGCCACACGCCACGCCGCCCCTGACGACCCACTGGAGACTCCACTCCCGTTCACTGCTCCCCCCATCACGTCATTCACCAACGACCCCCCGGGGACCCCCAGGGAGGCGCACTGCAATTTGAATATGACCCCCCGAGGGGCCTCGCGGGGGCCGCGCAGGCAGCCTCGTCAATGCAGGGTCCAGGGCCGCGAGCGAGGGCCGCCGCGTTCAAAAATGCCCCCGTCTGTCTGCGTGCGTCTGCGTGGCCAGACGACGGACTGGGGCGCCCTTGAGAAGCCCCCGACGCGGACCGGGCGGCTGGGCCTGGCCTGGGCCCGACGCATATGGAACACCCATCCATCAGCAGCACGGCCGGCACGGCCTCAACGGCCAATCCATTCATTCATTCATTCGTCCAGACGTCATTTGCAGCCCAATTCCAGGAGGGGCCTGCCGCCGGCCGCCTGCCGTCGCGAGGCACGACCTTTAGACGCGATAAGCGGATCTCGGGGCCCATCCCTCCACGGCCAGCCCGGCCATCCACCTCGCCAAGTGCAACGCCGTCCTTCAACACGCCGCGCGCCCCGCGGCCCCGCCGGCCGGCCGGAATGCCTGCCAGGGACACCTAGTGGGAGACCTAGCGCAGGGCAGCGCCGCGGGGTGGCGCCGCGTAGCGCGGGCGGTGCGGGACCGGGCGGACCCCGCGACCCAATGTCAGCAGTGACGCAACGCCAACGCCGCGCCGCCCCCCGCGTGCCCCCGCCGCCGCGGCGACCAGCGCACCGCCGCCGCCGCCGAGTACTCCAAAAATTGTGTTGATGACTCAGTCCCCGCCGCGGTGCCGCGGCCCTCTGCATCTCCCTTTATCTGTCTGCCTCTCTCTCTCCTCGTCCTGTTCCTCTCCCTCCCCGTCCTCCCGGCCGTCCCGGCGCTAGGAATCAAAACAAGTGCCGTTCCGCCAATCAGGGGCCCCACTTCCACGCATGCACCGCTGCTCGGGCCGCCATTGGCCACCGCGCCAACATGGCCGCCGCCCGCCGCCCGCCCGCGCGCCCCCGCGCCGCCCCGCGCAGCCCCGCGCGGCCCCGCGCCACACGCGGCAACGCCGGAGGGGGAAGTGGGCGGAGCGGCAACGCCGCACCCCTCCGCCGCCACCCCCCGCGGGGCCGCGCGGCCCGGGCGCGGCGGCGGTCGCGGAGGCGGCAGCGGCAGCCAGCCACAACCGCGGCGGGGCGAGGCGGGGCGGGCCGTCGGCTGGGCGCGGTGTTGCCACGTCGCCCGCTGGCTGGCTGACTGGCTGGCCGACATCGCACCACCAACACGTGCCCCGCGCCCCGCGCCGTGGACGCCGCCGACGAACAGCAACACACGGCCAAATCTCATCAAATATGGAAGCGCTCGAAAGGCGAAAACGGGGCCGAGTGCCGAGATTCGCCACGGCGGCGGCGCGTCCTGGCAGACGCGGTTCGAGGCCGCCGTCGAGGCCGAGGCGCTGGCGCTAACGACGCCGAGCAAGAAGCCCGGGGACCGCCGGGGACCGACCAAGGCAGGCGGACAAACAGCACGTGTGTGAAGCAATGCCGTAATGAGTAAATAAGAGAGATCCTGACCCCGCAGGCCACAGGCTGCCGCAGGCCCGAACCGAAGGCGGTGCAAGGCGCCACGTCGAGGGGGCTTCTTGCCACTTCGCGGTGCTTCGCGCTTCGCGGCCCCGATTGGGCGAGGCAGAGAGCGAAGCAGCAAGCAGCCAAAGGCAACGCAGAGCAGAGCGGAGCAGAGGGCGAACGGATGGAACATAGATACACACAAAGTCTGTTGTCTTGGCGAATGCGACCCCGGGCGGTACGGCGTACAAAAATAAACCCCCCGAAGCGCGACAGCCGAGCAGAGAGAGAGACAGAGATACAGAGGAGGGGCGGAAATTGAGGCAAGGCGAGAGGGAAGAGCGACGTTAGCAGGTGGATTAATGAGAAAAGAAGCGGCCGCTCTAACAATAACAAAATGAAAATGGAGACGGGGAGGAGGTGCGGAGGGAAGGGGGCGGCGGGCGGCGGACTTGGCGGGCTGGTGGAACGGCGCTCAAAAACAATGCAAGCGGAGAAGAGAGGGCAAGGGGGAAGGAAAGGCAGGGCTCAAGGCGGCAGCACGTTGCACGCTGCGCCACGCATCGCCCCCTCGGCCCGCGCATCGTTCTGCATCCGCCTGGCTGTGCTGGTTGTGCTGGCTGTCCGCCTATCTGAATCACGGGTCGTCAAGCCCAATGCCCGTACGCATCCAGACACCATTAGCATTGCATTGCATTCACGCCCCGCCTGCCAGAGCCGGTGCCAGTCGCTAGACCAGCCGACCGATTCCGAGAGTCGACTTGCTCACTCGGTCTCTCCCGCACCTAAAGGGGACGCCCCGGGAGTGCGAGGGAGGCAGAGCGACGAAAACGACTCTCGGAATCAGCCTGCAGTGCACTCACAGTCCGCATGCCAGAGCCAACAACAAAACGCTGCAGCAGCCAGCCAGAGCAACAGAACAGAAGCGGTACGGCGGTACGGCCACTGCAGCGAGTGAGGAGAAAACAAAATAAAAGCTCTAGCCAGCCAGCCAGCCACCCCGACGGGTGGCCTGGTGTGGTCGGCGCATCGCGAACGAAGGTCAGGTCCGCGCCACGCCCATCCAATGGGGTCCAATGGGGCCGTGCGTACGGCCGCACGGTGTGGTATGACACACCGTGGGCCGCCCAGGCCGTCCAGCACCAGCAGACCGATTCCGAGAGTCGTTTCCGTCGCTCTGTCCCTCTCCCACCTGCACAGCACGCCCCACGAGTACGAGAGAGACAGAGCGACGTAAACGACTGCTCTCGGAATCAGTCTGCGGGGCGAAGCTAAGCGACGCCTACACTGCCAAGCCAACTGATAAGCGCGCTTCGGGCCTCCAACCGGATTAGCAGAGGCGGATGGATTAGACGTTGACGATAGTGAATCAACGATTGAGCGGACCTTGCGATCCACACACAGGGGACCGCTTAATCGATGTCTCGGCTTGCAAAACACACAGCAGCAGAAGCAGGGACCCTCGAAAGCCATTAGTATCAGCTCAGGATAAATTGAGTGGGAGTCCCAGGCCAGGCAAAGCCCGTTAGGCGAGGCACAGGCGGACCGGGTTAGACGAACTTATAAGACCCTCTACTCGGCCACAATGCTGCAGCAGTGGCAATGCAAGACCAGGAAGCAGGGAACAAGCATTAGACGGAATTGAACTGTCGAAGCAGAAACTAAAGGACCGGAGAACAAAACCGGGGCGTAACAAAGGAAGGCGAAGGGCTGCTGGGCTCTGCTGGGGGTGGTCCTGTGCGACCGGGGAGGCCGAGCAGGGCTCCAGGCTGGAGGACTCCGCCGCCGCCACGGCCCTGCCGCCAGTCGCCGCCATTCTTTCCTTCCACTGCTCGCTGCAAAGGTCGTGCGGACAAAAGAGCACCAGCGGCAGCGGCGCAAGTCGGTGTAGTGCGGAGGTTATGCGCCAGAAAAAGGATGAAATGTGCAAAACATACTCGAAGCGATTTTTTTGCGGGAATCGATAGATTTTGACCTCCTCTTTCATATGAGTCGAGGGGTCACACTGGGAAATCGCGGGAACACCCCGAAAAAGCGGGTTGCATATCTGCACGGGGCACTGCCACATTTTGGATTGAAATACCTTATAAATCGGGAACTATTTGATGCAGCGTCTTGATGAAAGCTGCGAGGCGTTAAGAAAACATAGGAGATTGAACCCTATTAGTTTCAGCACTCTGTTGTAAAATTTGCGACTCGCAGAGCCGATAAATTAAATGAACATCACGGTTCAAAACAAGAAAACTGCGATTTACTCGAAATTTTTTAAGTCGAATGTATGGATTGATTAGCACCAATGGATGCGCGCTTTCATTTGCATTCACATCAGCGTTTAAAATTTGGGGGTCGTCGCATTGGATCTCGAACGGCAGCGCTTTGAACGCCGCCAGGCGGGGTGCGCGCGGCTGCGCGCGGCACCCGGCGGCCAGTACAGCGGGTTGCCTACCCGATGTCCCCGTAAGGCGCCGTGTTAACTTCATCCCTTCATAACGTTTTTCCTGGGGGATAAATAAATGCCTTATTGGGTCAAGAGCCATTCTTTTCGGCTCAACTATGCGTCTACTGAGTGGAAAATTTTAATTTGTAAATGGTAAATTGACTTCACTTAACACCAGATCCAGCGGGTGCGCGACCTGCATGCGTTTTCTCGGCCAGCCGGCATGTTCCCTATGTCAAGTCTTCCGAATGCGATTCCACTCCGTACACGCATAGTTGAGACCCAAAGAAAGGCTCTTGACCCAATAAGGCAT